TGTGTTGCCACTCACTGAGCTGCCGTGTGTTGCCACTCACTGAGCTGCCGCATGTTGCCACTCACTGACGCAGCATCGATCGTCACAGATGCCCCGATGTCCCCCCAGTTTCCCATGCCCAACAATGGCTGCGATGAGTCTTAGTGATACCTTCCCTCACTAATGCCCCTCGAGCAAACATCCTCTAACAACCCCTGCTGAAAATAAATAAAAAGCCCGCCCTACATAATAGAGTCCAGCAGAAATGGGGCTCCGGGTCGGCAGCGCTGCCGGCTACATTATATAGCTTCAGCCATTGAGCGACCTCGGCATTGGGGCGTTTGTTGTAGAATAATGCATTTGTTTAATGAATAACAACCATTATGCAGGAATGTAACAGAATTAACACTTATTTATACAGTTTAACGCACACACAAATGACAAATTTGGCCGCGGAATATCAATATATTGTAAAATATGCAAAATTGTACATTTATTCAGAGTTAATTTGAATATCATTCACAACCTGCAGTGCGATCGTGAACCATTGATGAAAAAAGTACATCCAGATGCATGGCTAAAAGCGCCGAATAAAACTTGAAATCGCTAATTCAAAATTGTGCGCGAATGAACAAGGATCGATCATCGAGATGAGTAATTACATATACGTTGGTAGTTGGCAACAATAGTACGACCTCGACTTGGGCTTAACAGATGGAAATTGCACAGTTCTCATCGCTCATGCAGTTTTTTTTATCTCTGTGTTTTCTAGAAAAAATTTCTATCTTTTTAACCGGTATAGGCCAACAACCTCACTTTTAACTTTTAATTGAATAGCAAAATAGACGCAAAATGTTTCGTACTTGCCTTGAGTTGTTTGTAGTAATCATAATAAAAGTGCTGTTCTGGTATTTGTAGAGCTACACAAACACAAAACAACGTATCAACCCAAACTGACGAAAGTGTAAGTTGGAGCGGGAAACATTTTCACAGCAATAACGGAGGCAAACATTACTCCCATGGATGGCTTACGCAAGGCATGTATTTTCAGGATAGTTTTTAAATAGGGTTAATATATCGTAATAAAAATAAATGAAAAAAATTTGCTTGTACCATTTTACCAGATTAAAACGCTTTATTATCACCCGAATTCAAAACATTTAATTGCTCAAAAATATTACGATATTTTTCTTTGATGGCGTCGAGTATGTTGATTATAGTGGATTAATGAGACAACTTTAGTGCATGCCATCAGAAGTAGAAATTCCGCTTGCTGCTATTATCTTAATTTTCGACAAGAATGGCATTAATAATTCACAACAATAGAGTTGTTGACAAATCATTTAATTCGTGTAGTGTATGTGTGGCGTTGTACGACTGTATAACAAAAAAAACTTTCAATAGTGTTGTGATAGTCGCCCGCTCAGTGTCAATTCAGTCTTGCTAGTACATGCAGTTTGTGTATGATACATAAAGATGAGCGCTTCCGACCTATTATTGCAATAACTCTGGCTGTCTATATCTCAAGAAATAATCTGACAAGTCGTTTTCCTCATATACGGAACAAGAGTCATTGCGTGGCGAGACTAGGAAGCTCCGTGAAGAAGAGCGCCGTCTGGCGGGAGCCGCGCAAAGCACACAATGACTGAGAGTCCTTCAGCTCTCCCTCTGTTTGGATGCGCAGCTCAACAAGCCATCGCAATGTTGACTTTTCTAAGTTCTGGACCATTTTCCATCTTAATATCCTTGCTCCATAATCGTCTTAGGACTAGGGCAACTGTTTGCTGAGTCTCAGCAAACTCTGCGACTCCCGTGATGAAGACTTAAAAGAGAAATTGCTCCACATGGACAACTTCTGCGTCTCGCTTGTTGAACAATGACTGATTAATACTTGAGAAATATTCGCTATTTTGCGGCAGACAATTATTTCATGTTCATAGCGTGCCACTTACCCTACGAAAATTCTGAATATTAAACAACTTTAAAAAACTATGTACAGAGTCTAAGTCATTCTAAAACAATTTTTCATGTAGACTTTATTGTTTCTATTACTTCACATACTTTGTACAAAACCCGCGATGAATGTTTGAATAACTAATTATAAAGGTTTTTGAGTTTACTTAAATGGTTAAAAAGTAATATTTTAAATAATATTATTTACAAATTATAAAGGCTTTTTTCACGCATAAAGGGGTTTGAGTGAAAACGTAGAAGAATCGATGCAACGGCGTTTGGAACACGGCTGGGTACAGGGAAGTAGTTCCAGTGCAAGCAAATCAATAAAATTGTGAGGAGTTTTGACTTGAAGAAGTGAAGTGAGGTGCGTGTTTGCCAGGGGCACAGGATGGTTTGCTCAGGAGATTATTGGACTCGAACACAAGAGCAAGGCTTTTCCAGGAAAGCCCTTACGCCTCTTAGGGCTGAACAGGCCGCCCTCACGCTCTGCTGGCAGCGCCAGGCTTGTCGTTCAGGAACGACGAATTGAGCCAAACAAATTAAGGTCTGCATGGGCTTGCGTATGTCCAATACGTTCTACATTGTGTTGACGAGGAAGCGCTTGGAAAATTGGGCATGTTAGCTCGCACCGACATCCGCATTAAAAGTCGAGCATCAAGTTGAGAATTACGATAGCGATGACCGCCTTTCTTTTGCCTGTTGCACGAACTATATTTTCAGTTCCGGGTGTGGAATCTTGGCACTTAGAAAGAGGACGAATTCAAATGGACAAATAAATAAATTTACCACGCCATAATATAAGAAAGTTTCCTGCTCTAATGCACGAATGATGTATGAACATATAATTTAATTGTGTTTTCAGGCTAAAGCATCATTTCAGAAAATTATTAGTAAATAGATACAAGTTTTTCAATTATTTGGAGAATTCTCATTTCATATGAGTAAATTGAACTGATCATTATCACTGATACTGGAGCAATATCGATATAAGAGGATGAATATACAACACAACTTATATCAGACTTTTATTAGAAGACATTTAAATAATTAGCACCAGCACATCGTGTACATATTATAGATATTTACAATATCCATAACTCAAGTATCGCCCATCTAAATGCTGCACTTAGATTTCACCCAATATATACAAAACACAAGCTCCTTACGGGAAATATTATGCAGAGTTTAACCCACGCATATTTTCATCTATTTATACACAATTACGGGCGGCGAGGAAATTAACAGCTGGTATGCACATTTCTATACATTCATTCATTGTACACGGGAAAACCTAAAGTATAGTTCCACATTGAAAATGTACGAGCTGTTTATGTAACAGCGTATAATTTTAATTACAAAATGTACAAATAAACACAATGTGAATTTCCCCAAAAATGTGATATAATTTTTACAATGCCGTAGTTTTTGATTATATACTGTTTGTGACGTCGATTATTCCAACTACGTTTCTCATCTTAATAGATAATCACCCTATACATTAAAGTAGAAACTAATTCTTATATAGGCTTGATGAGAAGCATTCATTATGTAGATCAAACTAAAATTTGGTGACCGGGCATTGAGTCGTGACTGTGAAATCAGCGTCAAATCAAACCGTAACATAAATTGACGATATAATCATGTATTATCACTTATACCACTATCTTATATCACTTCGACAAATAATCTGAGTTGAATTATTCCTATCGACAATAATTTAGACATGTAGTTTACGTTTTTATTTTAAAACTTCATCTTCTTCCACGCACACACTCACACACATTGAAAAATCGGAGTTAACTTCTATAGCAAAGCTCTGAAATGAGTCGTGGTGTTATTGTGAAATAACAGAATTTTCCCGACACGCCTTCATATTGTATATTATGATACAGAATTCTCAGTTTGGACTTAAACGATGAATATCAATTCATATATGTGCAGCAGGCATTATTATGTACAGCCTAATCAATATCTTTGGTATGGATTTTTTCGATTTAAAAATAATATTTTGGGGTCTAATGTTTGCGCTATCATAAAACTAATAAAAGGTGTGAAGACTTGGGCCAAACGAGTAATTTATTATAGGCCAACAACTACTCTTTTATTAGACCGGGACTGCCAACATAAAAAATGAATAACGTTGAGTTAAATTAAACAAATCTTATGTTGGGAATTGCGTAAAAATCATCGGCTAATAGAGTCAATAATTTGTGGTAGTTGCAATTAAGCTAGAGTAGTTCCAAGACTGCGTGACAACATTTGTAATGCAAGTTCCATTATACCAGATTTGGGATCTTTCAAATAAAAACATTAATTCCGTTCAACAACAACGGTTACTTCGACCATATACCCCAATAATCAACACCAAAATTTACTCATGCATTTTGTAAGATTCACCGAGGAAAAAACTCTGAATCATAGAGGTCCTATACCAAGGAACTAGAAACTGCAGTAGAAAAAAGGGTGAAGCTGATCATTTATAATTGTAAATGTTTCATTATTTTGGTTGCAATTTTTTGCATTAATGAATATAGCTCTAACTCAAAATATATTTGCCTAACTTTCAAGAAGAAACTTCGAGTCTGGGTTTTAACATTTTTTTTAACGCATATTGAGTAATTTTTCCTTATTTTATACAAAACTTAAATTTAATGATTTATATTCAAAGCATTCGTCAACCGGGCTACAACGCAAAAAGCCAACAAAATGTTATGGTCACCAAATATTTTTTAGAAATTTTACAGACAAACCCGCGACGATCTAAAATGTCCTGGAAATAGTTTGGATCAAGGACGATACGACACTTCAATTAACATTTTTTCAAAACGATGCGACACTTTCCCTCAATGGCATTCTATTTATCGATTAGACGGTCATCAGCTGAATTTTTTGAATTTATGTAAATTTACCAAAATAATTGGAAAATGCTTACTTTGAGCTCGAAAAACAACCGTTAGATGACGTAATAACTTTAAATCAGTTATAAATTTTGTTTTCAAGTAGGGTTTCCGAATTATTTAAAAATTTGAATAGTGCAAACATTTTTAAATTGATTGTATCTTAAATAGAAACCACGAAACTATGTAAAACGAAAATCAGTGCATTGAGGAGTTAACAACAAATTATTTTGCGAAAAAAATGCACAACAGAGAAGAGCTATCTCACCAAGTTTTCATCTTCACGACTTGCACGATTACGAATGATTTTCTCCCAATTTACTAGAAAATTATAAAATAAATATTTTAAACTTTTCTTAAAAATAGTGACAAATGATTACTGGGCCATTGAGTGCAAGAGTGACGCGTGTAAGAAGGGACGCTTGTCAAGCGCCATGGTCGTGGCGGAGAGGTTGGCCGCAGACACCGGAGGTGAGAGCCGCCCGACCGAACCCTGAAGGCCGGAGAGATTAATTGAAGATGGAGTTGTAACCTCCAGCGATGGAGGGGAAGAAGAAGGAATAGCTGTGTACAACAAAGAAGCACTTGAAAAAGACGAAGATGCTGAATAAGGAACGTGACAATCTTGACTGGAGGTTGGTGTGAGGGGGATGCTCAATTTAGAAGACGACGGTGATATTGGAGACGGACTGGAGCATGTTGGAGAGACGGACGTGTCTCCGTTTTCTTCTTCTGTTCGATCACCGACGTCGTTTCCAATCAGTGAGGCGATCGTGAAGGGATGATAAGGCCTGGCCTGAGTGACTCCTTGAGGCGGGGAAGCAGGTGAGGACGGATACACAGCCCTTAGTTTGTCAAGACCAAGACTTTGTTGCGTCATGCCTGGTGCTGGTAAGGGTAAGGGCTTCACAGGAGTTGGGTGGAGAAGGGGACCTCCTGCGGCACTTGCAGTTCCCTGCAGTGGCATTAGAGGTCTAGTGTGTCGACTGATGTCAAATGGTGGTAATCCAAAGGGAAGTCCACCGAGCTGAGACAAGTATATCGGGTGAGGGACGATGCTCTGATGCATGGGAGGCCTGACGAGCATCGGGTGAGGAGGGCGTAGCAGGGCTGCAGCCTGCTGAAGCTGCTGCTGCTGGAAGGGATCCATCATACCGGATGCAAACAACGAAAACACGTGAGGGTCGTTGAAAAAATCCAACGAGGGTTGTCGCTTGTAACGCTTGCGCCTCCGCAGAAATGAACCGTTGTCGAACATGTCGATTGCTCCAGGATCTAACGTCCAGTAATTGCCTTTTCCGGGATTTCCTGGTTCTCGAGGAACCTTAACGAAACAATCGTTAAGAGAAAGATTGTGTCTGATTGAGTTTTGCCATGCTGGGAACTTGGCTTTATAGTACGGAAATCTGGTCATTATGAACTCACAAATTTCACTGAGCGTCACTCGTTTTTTAGGTGCCTGGAGAATTGACATTGTAATTAAAGCTATGTACGAGTATGGAGGCTTCACTAAACCATTCTTCTTATCTGCGTTTTCCGAGTCATCATTATCACCTCCGTCTCTTTTCTCGGACTCAGTGGCTTTATGTTCATCGTTCTCAGGAACTTTATCCTCAGTTGGCTGTCCCTCTATAACAACTCCTGAAGTGTGACAGCTGGGTTCTGCAGAATAATTTTCATCTGGTTCTCGTTTGGCCGGGAATTCAGTCGGCTGATTTTCATGTGCCTCTATCTCACCTACTGGACATTCTTCGAAATTCATCGGCGATTCCAGAGAGTCGATAGATTTTCCTGCTTCGTTTGTATCAGATCGGTCAATTTCTTCACTCTTGGGTAGCATATTTAACTGGTAGTTAGATAAATTGATATTATCGATGACTGGCTTGGATTCTATTTCTTCAATAACGCTATTGGTGGAGTGCGAACGCATCAAATCTTCAGTGGAGCTAGGATTTAATTGAGGAAAGCCCGGATGTTGTTGAGGAAAGAAAAAGAAAGGATATTGCTGAGCTATTCTAGCATTATTCGCTTTGTCGACGTTGAAAGTGTTATTGCGCTCCTGAACTTGCTTCTCCAGAATTGATTGTTCAATGAGTGATCTTTCAAGGACAGAACGATCAATAAGACGAATTCCAGACCGGTTCTCTGTCCAACGATCAGCAGATAAACGTTCTAACAATCCTCGATCTACTATGGACTGTCGTTCGACAGGATATGGACGATTTTGAATGTGCCGATCAAGAAACGTTCGATCGACTAATGACTCTGATTCTTGAAGCGGAGAGTCGTAAAAATTGTTATCGACAGAATGAATTCCGTCCGCATTCTCCATTGTCCTGTGCACCAACCCGCCAACACTAAAGAAATTCGCCTGTGAAGCTGCAAGAAATCTTGAGTCCCGAAGCAGAGACACGCCGCCGTCCATGGACTTGGGCGACAGCAGTTGCGCCTGATCACCGGGCGACCCCATAGACTGGGGCCACAGGGCCTCACTGCTACAGACGGCAGGCGCATTCATAGTTTAAATGGCACTCGGGCACACACCAAAATTTACGAGTGAAAATAACGTCCATTAAATGAAAAAAACACGTGGAATTTCGTCACGTTTTATAATAATAGCCACTTCTACAATATTAATGATTGAATCACATTAAGTACACATTGGCTTGCTTATAGCTGCAGCAACGACATGTAGAAGCGGCAGCCACGTGAGGTAAACGAGAGGATGCCCGTGACACCGAGATGAGAGCGCCCTCTAGACTGGCACGCGCCTCGCTATCTTAATGGTTTTATCACACTTTGTCTGGTAGCTGCGAGCGAACACACCACCACATACAACACATATATTATCATTCCTGTCGTGCTAGTTGAGGCCTCTGCGCAGCTGAGGCGACTGTACTGAGAGTGACGTCTGACGGCCGTCGGCCAATGCGCGACTGGCGTAAGCTCTTCGAGTCCCTCAGGAGGAGGAGCTGCAGAGCACAACGAATGGCCCACACGAACCTCAGAATGAGGTGGAACCAATGGGCTCGTGAAGGAGGTGCTGAGGGAGGAGGAAGCAATGCTAATTTTATCCGAGTCACAGCACGTTTCTTTCAACTCATCCGTAACACGCAGTAGATGTAAGATGCAAACACGATTATGGAATCACTAATTTGTAAAACTGGCCTATAATTAAGCGATATTAGTGTCCGAATGGGTGTTTGGGAGCGTAGTGAAGCAATAAGCAAAGCAAGTAAAAACGGGAAGGAATGCTCGACACCGAGCAGTCGTCTGTATATACGGAGCGCCCCCTTCACATTGAGTGTAAAACTTATCCGTCGCGCTCTAAGTGAAACATTTCTCGCTTGATTGCAACAGCTCAGAAAGGCTTTTGGGGATCTCGGAAAATTGGTGTGGTCGAAACGCTGCCCAAAGCAATTGCTTCTGTTGGCAAGAGCGCAGCAAATATACACTCGTAGACAACATCACAGTTGTCGTAAAATAATACGGAGTGTGTTAGCTCTGATCAGGCGCAGCGTATTATCGCAATATCTGTTTGCTAGAAATTTTACGGGAGACATCAAAGTATGTGCCATTCTAGAGTTTTTTTGAAAAGAGAGTAAAATTGTTATTTTCTTCATAAGATAATATCAGGATAATAAACTTTTGATTACAATTTGACTTGGAACTTTTGATGCACATCATTTTTTTTTATCTACATCCGCCTAAGTTAGCTTGTTGCTGATTTCAACCTTTAGCTGAAAAGATATCGTCAACGTATTTAGTATTGTGATCGAATACTTTTGAAAAGATCTCCGGCAAGTATATATAGTGTGAACTTCGAAGCCATGGCAATTGGAACATTACAAAAATTCAAATCAACTTGCAATATATTAATGCATAGCACCCAACTCCATGTCTTCTCATTACGAGATCTTTCAGACAGAGTTGATACAACAGGGAGATCGATAATTTAGTGCTATGCGGTGTATATTAAATACGCGCAAGATATAGCAATTATTACGGCGCAGGCAAAATTTTACACAGTCTCAACTAGATAGCGAAATATCTGCTCTCGGGAGGAACTGTCGGTAACATTTTTGTATTAAAAGTAACTCCTAAATGTCCTGCTTACAGTATAATTTTTTTTCAAATTCGTATCTTAATTATTTTGTCATGATCGCATACAGGCAGGCAGAAATACATATCCGCAAACCGTCCAGCTTGAAGCAGAGCTGCCTTAAACTTTACAAAGCAACCAAGGGAACAAATAAAGTAACGTCGGACATGCAGAAATATGCACAACTGAATCGCTGCAAAGAAGTGAGCTCTAAAGCCAGGTTAAAATAAAGCTTGGAGCTCGCATGGGTTTAGAGAAACCTGTGAAGTGACGTGGCTGAGCTCTCTAGCACCGCTACAGAAACCCTGCATGGCCGGCAAGTGATTAGCTAGAAACCAGATTTGTTCACTCAGCTACTTGACACTCTTCTTTTTTCACGCGTGTAAAGGGCAATGTAATCACACACTTTGCATATTGCTACATTATTTGATGGATGCGTTGTTGGGATGAATACGAACATATTTGTGCTGCACATCCCGAAAGCTTTTATCATATATATTCGCCACCCACAAGGAAGGTTTTGAATCATTTATACGAAGAAAAGCTCATACTGTTTATTTACGTGAAACATCCAGCCAATACCAGAATACAATAGTAATTCTCACACGGATATCGATATTTGTGAAAATTCATAACAAGAATTATGGTTGTACAAACAATCCACATATGCAGAAGTAACGTTTTTGGAGTTTGATTTTTGTCACTTCATTGGGATTAAGAAGAAATAAATTTGATGCGGCAGGATTCGATAATCAGTTTTTTGCCAAATGCTTGATCGGGGTAACAAGTTATTTTCATTTATTTCTCCTTTCATTTAGTAACAAGTTATTAACCCTTCTTTTCATTTGATAACAAGCTACGAAGCCCTCTTTTTCATTTGATAACAAGTTATGAACCCCTACTTTAATTAGGTAACAAGTTGTCATGAACCCCCCCCTTTTCATTTGATAACAAGTTATGAACCCCTCCTTTAATTAGGTAACAAGATGTCATGAACCCCTCTTTTCATTAGATAACAAGTTATGAACCCCTCCTTTCATTTGGTAACAGTTGTCATGAACCCATCTTTTCATTAGATAACAAGTTATGAACCCCTCCTTTCATTTGGTGACAAGTGACGAACCCTTCTTTTCATTTGATAACAATTTACGAACCCATCCTTTCATTGGGTAACAAGTTATGAACGCCCCTTTTCATTTGATAACAAGTTACGAACCACCCTTTTCATTTCATAATAAGCTATATACGAACCCCTCTTTTCATTTGGTAACAAGTTACGAACCATGTCTCTTCATTTGGTAACAGGTTACGAACCCTTCCTTTCAATTGATAACAAGTTGCGCATCCCTCTTTTATTTGGTGACAAGCAATGAACCCCACTTTTCATTCGATAACAAGTTACGAACCCTTCCTTTCATTTGATAACAAGTTGCGAACTCCTCTTTTCATTTGGTGACATGTTATGAACCCGACTTATCATTTGATAACAAGTTACGAACCCTTCCTTGCATTTGATAACAAGTTTCAAACCGCCCCTTTTCATTTCATAATAAGCTACGAACCTCTCTTTTCATTTAGTAATAAATTATGAACCCTTCTTTTCATTTGATAACAAGTAATTAAGGAAACTGACTATGTCAGGGATTTATTCAAATGATTAACGAACGCTTTTTCATCACACTGCGTCTTTTCGACATTTATTTAAAACAAAATTAACAATACCGACTGCTTGGGACATTTGTTACAATTATTTATCTTATAAGCCTCTTGTAAACTTTCATATCATTTGTAAACTTTCATATCATAATCATTGCAATATATTTTTTAATTAACATTTATACGCGTTCAACAATCTCAACGTCAGTCTCTGCAGAAAAATTAGTTGACCGCTTCGCCACTCGCAGGGCGATTCCTTAACTCGTTTCATCACCACAACTTTCCAACGAGCCGCCTATCCAATCGGGTCCTTGGATGCCAGAAATGGTCTTGTGCTAATGAAAAAGAGAGAATTTCTCTTGAAGCCAATGGATTGGTTACATCTGTCGACAGCATAAACTCTACGGAGCCTTTACTTATTAGAGCGTCTGTATAAATCTCATCCTAACTTATCCATCGCAAATAATATCGATGAATAACAACAACTGCAGAGCTTTAAAATAATCCAATATCTTATAAGAATGGAAATTAGCTTTATTGTAATTTATTAGATTTAGAGCTGGAAAACAGGAACATTGTGTCCCTACCGCCAAGAAGCAATCAGCCCAGGCTGTCAGGCCGCCCCACATCCAATCCCGTCGACCAATTCGCGGTGAGAAGACACACGAGGGAAGATACCGAGCGCTGCAGCACCATGAATACTGCGGCAATTCCGCTTATATTCCTTAGAATTAAGCCAAATATTATGTTGCTTATATGGCTTAGACAGTAAACGAACCGCGGCTATAATTCTTATTTGGCTTAAAGCCAACGGTGAGCCAACTTACTGGAAAGGATCCAAATCCAGAGAAAGGGATTGATGATAGGAATAGACGCGTTAAACGTCGGTACATTTATTTTTTAAATTATCAAGCTTATCGAATACTTCACTATGAAATAACTCTGCTATTCAAACTAGAACCGATCTTACGTAGAAGAATGAGGCAATAAAATTCAGTCCAAAGGCAGTTTTCACACTGTTTTAAAACAAAAAATCACACACATCAGATTATCAAAATGTGTATCTGAGCAATAGAAATGAGTCGTCGAGCGCATTTGCTGAAACTGGGGTTTACTGCGCACTCTAGGCGAAAACTTGCTGAATTATTGAAAAAGTAATGATTGCCTCGATTATTTCCTTCATAGCAAAGTAAAAAATAACAGGCAAGAGTATAGATGAAATGTCTTACGACTTCCTACAGTTTCAGAACGAAATTCTACAATTTTAAGTTTGGGTCTAAATTCCATGTGCATAATGAGGCTGCTTTAGACGGAAACGTACAATCTTGAACCTCAAGTTATAACAATCACCAATATTACATACTCAACATGGATATATCATGAAAAAGAAGCAGTTAGCAGTTTCAGCCAAATTTACTCGGAAAGTCAAAAACACAGTACCATGACATACTAGCAGGGGCTACTTCATCATAGAACAGTTAGAAAAAAAAATGCAGAGTATTAACGAATTTTAGACTAATATCACCTAGCAACAGAAAATGACGCCAGTAAAAAAAATTCATTAGGCATCAAAAGCTTAATGGAAAGCCGATTTAAAAAAAGAGTGGTTTTGGATGTAGTCGAGTAATTCTTAACGAGTCAGAACTAAAATTTTAGATCTATGAAGACGCTATGAAATAGCAAAAAATTATCTGGCTTGAATGAAAATAACATAAAAAAACGCATAGCGTAATCAACGAAACTTTGCAGTGACACGTGAACCAGATTATAAGTAAAGAAAATAAACCTAAATTATAGTTAATGATGGCGCTGGTCACGACGCATCCATGGGTAGACCTTGAACTTCTTCTTGTATATAAGTAGCGAGGAATCTTTCTAGGGCTGTTTTCTCCAAGTTCTCACCTGCCAACATAAATACTACTGAATTTGTATTCAATTTATAAAACTTTTGATTATCCGATAACGGTTAAGCTCAGTTTTGCATACGATGGATTACATCTTTCAACCTTGTAACGCGCGGTAATCAGAAGGCCATATTTAGAAACTTAAATATACCTAATAGCTCACACAGGACAGTTTCATTAAAGAATCTAGCCTCACACAATCTCCACGTAGGTCAAATTCACCAGAATTTAATATTCGTTACACAATTTTTCTTTACCAGGAAAGAGTTGCACGGACAGAGACTCATTAGGTGATCAGGTTTAACGCCGCTTAGAAATTTTTAGACGCATTGAATAAAAGTTGAGGGGAAATCATTCATCACGATACTAACGATAATAATTGTGCAGGTCGCGGAACAATTATGGAACGTATAAACCAGCATGAAGGCACCAACATTTTCAGTGGTCATCGCTTTGTACAGTTTAATTACCTTGCCTTCATGACAAGTTGATCAACAACTTGTTCATTGCTTATTCGTTTCCCTCAACCCGGAACAAATACTCGCCCTTGTATCATGGAACTGTGATGCTGCTTTACTGCAGTTCTCAGGAACTTGTTCCTCAATAAATCGCTCCCTTCAGTCCGTAACAAAGTATTTATCAATAGGCATTAAAACCATGATGATAAACTAATGCAGTTCTCAGGAACTTGTTCCTCAATAAATCGTTCCCTTCAGCCCGTAACAAAGTATTTATCAGTAGGCATTAAAAACAATGATAATAAATAACCGCATAACTGCAGTTCTCACCTATAAGTATGAGCCTGCAGTACCTGACGTCGCCCTCCCGCCATGCGCTGCCCAGGTCCGTCTCGTAGAGCTCCTGCACGGCCTGCACCAGCACCTGGCACGCCTCCTCCCGTACCGACATTACGCCCTGCGGCATAAGCTCAAAATTAAAGCTTCTTAATATAGATTAAGCGAGGTGACATTTCCAGCACGTTGGAAGGTCTAACAAACTGTGGATGATAATCTGTCAATGCCCATTCAACCGATAGCGACAAGCTGCTTCCACAGTTAAGCACTCAAAACGTCTGAAAACAAAACAAAAATTATCGAATTCTTCGTGCCCTGCGTTTCTAAACGAAACACATATACCATCCAACAATTTCAATAAAATCAAAATTGTTAAAAGCTTACAGCTCCTAACACCAGTTGAGTCTATAGGTTATAAACAAAACAGGATTTTTTACAAAAATTTTAAATATCACCACTTTGAACACACATCCCCATTGGACACTCTGAACCAAGGTACCATTGCATAGACTCCGGGCCAGCCGAGTTTGGAGGTTGTAAACTAACTAGACTAGCCCACAAAGAACACACTTGAGAAGCCCCTGCCCCCACCTTCATCCTGTATATGTTGGCAGGTCGTCCCGAGGCGTCGGTGAGGGAGCGCTCCCACAGCAGCGCTGCCAGCAGGGAGTCTAGCCCAGCCTGCGTCACGCTGCCCGGGCACTCCAGGCTCACAGTCCCAACTTTCTGGTGGATCATTATTAAGTCATGATTAAGTTATTATTAGGTTATTATTGGGTTATTATTAAGTTATTATTAAGTTATTATTAGGTTATTATTAAGTTATTATCAAGTTATTGTTGAGTTATTATTATGTTATTATCAAGTTATTTTAATGGCATTAAAGAAACACGAGAGGAGGATGTGTTAAGTTTTTAAAAAATATTTGTCTTTATATCCACGGCAAATGAAACTCTAGAAACTGCTTGAGCAAGACTTACTGGAGGCTGAAGCAGCATTTATATAGACAATATACAGACTATATTGTATACAGCATATAGTCTACATCGAGTAACCGAGTAGAGCGTCGGAAAATATCATGCAAATTGAGTAACAGGAATAAACTAGAGTGAATGCTAAGCAATACTAGGAACAGCTGAAGCAACATCAATGAAGACGAGTTAATTCATCAATAGGAGTGCCACTTGCATTGCCATAAGAACTAAAGACAAAGCTCCACACATAATTTGCAGGATTGCTACTCCTTGCCTTTAAAAACTTCAACAGAAAAAACTTTTAATAAAAAAATGCTTGCTGAATTTTTTTACATCGAAAACAATTATTGGTACGTATAATTAACCCATAAATAAAACATTGTATACATAGAAAAATTCATCTTTTAACATTCTACTGTGATTAAATTTCTACGTTAAAAGTTTTCTGAGGAGAAATGATCCAAGACAAAGTTTACCGTCAATACCGCTTACGTTGCCACAGCATTTTAGTCGCCGCCTTTAATAGAAACTATCGACTATGCAAGCAAAACTATTCCGAAACTTTCTAGCGAGATCGAAGCAGCTTTGGGATTATTATGTGGTAGTTTTAGTGGCCAAATGTTTACTAGCGCTTCAGCTATTAAGCTATCTCGCACCGAAAGTCAAGATGAACATCACCATAGAGGTGGAAGGTCTCAATTATTCATCACCCACAAGGGGCGGAAGGTCTCAGATGTCCAGCCCGCTGATGTAAGGAATCCTACCTACATAATAACTTAACCCCACAACTGAGACCTGCAGTCAGACACCGCGAGCTCAGCGGTGGGGCGCTCAGGAACAATCCCCCTAGGAGCGCGAAATCCCATAGGACTTCTGACGGGTACAGACACCCGTCAGAAGTCCCCCCTGAGGGGTTATTATGTGGTAATCGAACACTCCAAATCGTGGTTCTGACCAGCATTATACGGTTCTTAGGGTCGAGTGGTGAGATAAATGCAAGGGTAATTATAGTGCGTCAGAAAATATAAGTAGCCAGAAAATAGTGCGTCAGTAAATATAAGTAGACTCTATAAATATACCGTCATTGACGGTATACTTATAACGATAAACTTCAAAGCTGAAAAGAACCATGACAACGTAAGAGCAGGCTAACAGTGAGCTTATATTTGGTGACGGTGGTGACATACGAGGTCCATATGAGGGGCAGGCGCTGTGAAGCGCGCGACGCGGTCGCTCTGGCAGCTCTCCTCCAGACTCTCGTAGGCCTTCATGTCCAGCAGCTCACTCACATCTACTCTGCACAACACGAACTATTCAAAACTACACAACCGACAACACAATTCTCATAACGGTGTCTCAAGTCTCATAATCTACTCTGCACAACACGAATTATTCTAAATTACACAACCGACAACACAATTCTCATAACGGGGAATTTCTTTAGCAAACACATTTTCCCTTACAACAAAATTTTGGTTTTTGGTAAATTTATTATACCATTGAGAAGTTTCCCTCTCCCAAAAAATGAAATTCTTTAATACTATTATATTATACATCAAGTTATTATAAATACATTATTACATGGCCTACAGTCATTCAGGGCAATGGCAATGAAACCAAAAAATTGCCCACCAGAAATCTCCTTCCTGTCAAAATTAATCCAGAGATTTTTCCAATTTTATCTAAATTCCTGGGCGCCGTTTCAGCAATACTTGTCATCATTGCTAAAGGATTAAACTTAACACATTTTTTTGTAATTATTTTATGTTAGTCCCACTTAAACTTTATGTTTATCATTAATTTCAATTTTAACATTAATTTAACATGTTAACTCAACATGTTGGTTTTTTTAATTTTGCATAATTTAGCTTCTTAACCAAAAAACTAGTGGCGTTACAAGGCTGGCAACTTTTGAGTTTATACAATACTTTGAAAATTCATGAGTTTTGGCATAAATTTTGGCATAAGTACAATTCTTCAAAAGATATGGGGAAGAAACTGAGAAATGTTTCTTTTAGAGGCTGGTACCATACACACTAGACTGGTACTATACACACTTTAACGATTCTCGAGACGACTAATTAATGATAACGATAATTAACTCCGTATCGAAACGAAGTTCGATACGAAAGTACCGTATGGTGAAAAATGACTCCAGTACGGCAAGCCGGTTAGAATTTCCATCTAAAAATGTTATTCAAATCACTTTCTGCTGTCTGTAACTCGAGTTACTAGGGCCGTACTATCAAAATTCACGTAAGTACATGTATAGCGGCTAAAGTACACGCAGCAGCCCAAGTACACTTCGCGGCAATTCCCTCGTCAGCGATTGGTAGGTTGAGTTTGAGAAGCCGTCACTGATTGTCTGACTGAGTTACGAAATCTTAATTATTTTCGATTGTACTCCACAGGTTTTAAGCTACGCATAGTATTAGAGAGTTGCAAGGCCGGACGAAATAGTTAAAAAGGTTTGTAGTTTGAAAATTTTTGATTGTATGGCTCCAGGCACTCAGATACGAATAACATTATTGACGTTAAATACATGTGTGGACCAAATTTTCTATAGCATTAATAACAGTAAATACGTGTAAAGACACACGATTAACAACAGGAATTACAAGTGCCGACAAAGGGATTAATATATGGTTGGTCTGACCGGCACCGCGACGTGGTTATGAGACGAGCCGTCGAGTTGATAGAGACGACGACGCGCGCGAGACGCTCGGCCTCGTCAGCCGTGACGAGGTCCCGTTTGTTCAGCAGCAGCACGTCTGCCAGGGCAACCTGCCTGTCATAACATTATGTACAACATGGATGGCAAACCTCATTTTAAATGCATTCGAGTTATTGTTAACTTTTGCTACATAAATATAGAAATGAGAATTATTAAAAACGAAAATAAATTAGATGGAACTCTTACTAGATTTTTTTGCATTTAAGAAGCTTAGCATAAAATTAAGCAAAAATGTACCTATAATGACAATTTTCTCGATCTTGTTGAAGCTTTCTTGCTATATTAGAGCTTATTGATCCCGATGGATGAAGAGAACACAAATCAAAGAAAGGTAAAGTAACTTCGTGTGAAATTTCTAGTGCGTACAAATAACTCCAAAATCAACGCAACCTCGCTGTATAAAATAACTAGATGACCACACAAAGCAGAGTGGAATCTATGATAAAATGACTGTGCATTAGTCATCAACGAACTAATCAACTGCAATGCAACACAAAGGACAGCGCTCTCACCTCAGCGCCTCGTTGATGACGCCGTCGGGTTTCTTCTCTTCGAGGTTCTGAGGGAAGACGGTGAGCAAACGTCAGAATAGTTAGTTCATTTACCTTCAAGTTAGTTCATTCACGTTCAAGTTAGTTCATTCACGTTCAAGTTAGTTCATTTACGTTCAAGTTAGTTAATTTACGTTCAAGTTAGTAAATTTACGTTCAAGTTAGTTAATTTACGTTCAAGTTAGTTAATTTACGTAATTTACGTTCAAGTTTGTTAATTTACGTAAAAGTTAGTTAATTTACGTTCAAGTTTGTTAATTTACGTTCAATTTAGTCAATTTACGTTTATGTCAGTTAATTTACGTTCAAGTTAGTTCATTTACGTAAAAGTTGGTTAATTCTCGTTCAAGTTAGTTAATTTAAGTTCCAGTTAGTTGATTTACGTTCAAGTTAATTAATTTGATGAGCTTTGTCAATTATTTCAAGTATATTTATACGGCAGTCCACAGCTTATTAGTGAAGGAGAATATATTCAATCAAAAAACTATTTCATTTGGTGCCTTTCTCTTTAATAAATTATACAGCTCTTTTGCATGTATAGAATGAATACTTAAAAAAATTACCATCAGGAATATATATTTATGTGAAATATTGCAACGAAAAATTTTCATACGACTCCCTTAATTTGAAGCACACTTTTAGGTTTAACTTCGTGGAAAATTATTGGTTATCAAAATATGCCCCTGAGAAAGTATGCATTTACGCTCCGTTAAGGGCGTATCAGCGCTACGTGCACAAATGGGTGACTATTCGGACAATATGACCAATTTATTAGCGCATTTTCTCATTTATGGAAAAAATGCACTATTGTGCTCGCCATATCCGTCTGTCTGTCTGTCCGTCCGTGACCTCATGTTTTCGTCGACGAGAAAATGCGCTCTCTGTCACTCACTGCAGTGAGTACTGAGTTATATTTTTATATTTATTGAGTGTGCCCACTACTCATTGCTGGAAAAATACCTGCAATGCGTGCTTGCAGTCCAGGACCGTGATGATCCCTGCACACAGACGCGCGTCAATAAAATAACAAACTGTGAAATACGGAAATTCAGGCTTTCATTTCAAAATAATCAAACATATGCACATACAAAACGGTACGTTAATACCGATTGTATAAGAGTACCTAACGTAAACAGAGACAAAATCGAATCTACAAGAAGATCAATGCAAAACGGCTGAAAATCTTTTCCCAATGACGTAGGAAAGGACGATGAATTCGCAAGTTCTCATCAAGAAGATATTAGAGAAATACCGCGACACCAGATAAAAGGGGATCGAACCTCGTACCGACTCTAATCTTTCACTATATATCAACTAGAGCTTCTTTTTAAGCACCTACAGTTACTGAGCGCAATAAGTATAGTAATGCTTCACTGATGGCTCCTTGTAATGGTATCAAAAATGTGAATAAATTTCAAAATATGGATTCATATATTATTTTGAAGAAAAAAATACCACAAAATGCCAAAATATGAGAATATGAAGCACTAGTAAGCATGAGAGGCTGTATTCCGACCAGCTCAAACGCGTCTAATTTTGTAGGGCATTCACATCGCACAAATCGATTATTCAAAATGATGCTCACCATCTTCAAATCCCTAAAAACACAACAAAAACATATTACAACATATTTATTGAACGATAGCTAAACAATAAAAAATTTCACAATAAGTAAACAATATTAAATGATACAGAAGTCTTGCCAAGAGAAAAACTATTGGGTTGAACGCAGCATGCGAACAATGTCATTATTAAACAATAAAGAAGTCCTTATAATCGGCCAATGCTAAATTCGATGTTCTCAAGTCTCGCTAGGATCCGCCTGGCACATTCAAACTTGCGCAGCAGGATTAGATTGAGGCTCCTAAGTGGCAGCGAGAGCTTTAACTAAGTATAAGGCTGGCAGCGGGAAGTCGGGACCCAGTCTATAACTAACTCGTTGCATTCCAATAGAGAAGCTCACTAGACGATAACCTAATATATTCACTAACAATCCAATTGAAGGAGCCACTTAAAATCATCCGGGTACAAAATTCAGCGGATGTACTGCAACGATTCGACAGATTTCATTCAATTTGACAGCAGAAAGGTAACAAATTTTATCACAATAAATAGATAAAAGAATACAATGCTTAAAAAAACTTCAGTCGTGTTAGAGTTATTATATAATAGATGGAGACGGCGATGAGTGCAATACGCGAGCTCAATAGCTCAATAAGATATCTGGACGAAACCGAAATAAGCGATGACCAAATATGATTTTCTACATTGGTAAAGTGTGTAAAATAGAGAGTTACGAAACCTCGTAACGCGACATGAAAGGCATGTTATGAGGAGACCTCACACCACAACATGACAGGCATGTTATGAGGAGACCTCACATCGCAACATGACAGGCATGTTATGAGGAGACCTCACACCACAACATGACAGGCATGTTATGAGGAGACCTCACACCACAACATGACAGGCATGTTATGAGGAGACCTCACACCACAACATGACAGGCATGTTATGAGGAGACCTCACACCACAACATGACAGGCATGTTNCTGTCTCTTATACACATCTAGATGTGTATAAGAGACAGGTTATGAGGAGACCTCACATCGCGGCATGACGGACATGTTATGAGGAGACCTCACATCGCAACATGACAGACATGTTATGAGGAGACCTCACATTGCAGCATGACCGACCAATAATAGGTAATATCAAAACGATTCTAACTTATATCAATGATAAAATCTTAAAGCAAACCAGTAGGAACTAAAAAATGTCCAGAGGTATAATACTAAAGAACGGATGAGAAATAACTCTTAACCTACTGAAATAACTCAGAGAGGATGCACTCACCGTCCAGCTTGAGGTCACACTCGAGTTGCTTGTCCACCCAGAAAAGTTGTGCTATGGGACCTGAACACGGAAATGAAAACTCACTAACAACAAAATTCTTGTTATCATGATTGGCACATTTAAATTTGTTACAGAACAAGCATTTTATTTTTTGATTATCAAAGAATGCAGAGAATTACGTCGTGTTGTCAAGAAGGTAGCAAGCTTCTGGTCACTCTTGGCATGGCATACCGCATACCTATACAACCGCAAATAACGTTTAAAAATAATACTAAACACACAAAATAGGTTTATTTCTGTATATACATTTGCGATTAAGGTTCTACAGACATTGTTTATTTGAGGCGGCTAAATAAGGATTCATGTGAAATTGTACATTTCTCTATGTGATCCTCGATATCAAACATTTCACTTGTGTTATAGGTAGCTTGTGTAAGTCTACGGTAGGTCGGCCCGTGTTTGAACTAAGTAGTTGCAGTTGAAGGTTTACTGGCATTTGAGATTAATATACCTACTACTTCGCGCCGGATGTACGGTTTACCGTTTAGGTTACGTCCGAAGCATTGGTATTACGAGTTCAACCATAGGTTGGCCGGCGCTAAGATTTTTAGATCTTCTGTGAACAAGGCACGAAAAGGAAAAGAATCAGCAACAGGCCACATCAGGCCTACACTGCAGCGCCGACATCACTATGTTATGTTAAGATGGTGGCTGCCAGACCTCAGCACGCAGTCAATGAGGCAGCTCTAGACAATCGCATGGTAATTCAATGTAGGGCATTACGACGTAACTACGAAACGCTGGCGAGTCATGCCGGGCTTATAACATCAAAGTTGCTAAAAGTAGACAAAGACTTGTCCAAAGTAGTGGTTTTAACTTGAATGATGTGAACATTTCAATTAATTTCAATCCTCTATTAATTGAATAATACGAATTACTATAAATTCTTCACAAAAATGTTGAGCACTAGAACAAGGGAATAGTTAAAATTCTGGTTGCTGAGTCAATTAATAGCATCATCTTAAAGCCGAAATTTCTTGAATAATTGATTCAACATCCTCATGACATGAGAGTTTCACTCAGTCTAAAGTAATTAATAGACCTTACAATATACCCAACTCATTAGGATTGCGACTTGAGATATCTTACGCATGCAAACTCATTTTAAATTATTATGTTGAAATTCTCACCAGGGTCAGCCAAGCCAGTGGTCTCAAGCAAGATGTAGTCGAACTTGCCTCTCTTCTTCATCAGATTCTCGATGGCTTTGACGCCATTATCTCTATACACATCAAAGTATGAGAACGTTTGCGTTTTAGAATGTGGGTGTTTACTCATTCAACCATTGACAGCCATAAAAAAAATCTACACTTAAAAGATATATAATTTTATTGCAATTTAATTCCAACTAGCCACAATTCCAAATAAAATTAGTATGAATAAAATGAAAATAATTTCGATAGTTTAACTTTCAATTGAATTCCCTACTACATAGAATTCTTGAATTCTCAACTTTGCAGTGACGCAACAGTGAGTGGGAACTTACACATAACATAAAACATATAAATTACAGAACATGACCTAAGGAAGACATTCCATGCTTATAAAAATAATAGCTGCTCTATTCTAAACTATTTTGTGGCAGCAATCAAGGATGTGTTAAATCACCACATACACAATTGCTATATTAGTCCAGTCACAAGAAACAAACAAAAAAATCTTTGTTTATTTGTATAACCTTTTGATAGCAACCTGGAATGCCATTATATTTCTGCAGCTATCATTTTAAATAATGAATATTAATTTAATCCCAAGACTTATTGTAATACAATTTGTAAGTATATACGGTAGGTAAATTCTCAGTTATTACATACTGACTTGACTGAGCAGCATAGGCAGCCGTTGCGTAGTTCCAGCCACTCCTCACACAAGTCGCCATCCTGACCAACACTCAGAGACTTTTCTAGGGCGCTGCCTGACACCAAACAAGAGCATTACATTTTAGCAACATTTATTATCATAGGAATAATCAGACACATGGTCATCTGAATTATAAGCAAAGAAATAATGAGACACACAGGGCATTGGAATTAGTGTCTCAGGAATAATGCATCATATAGGATGATATTTATGTAGATGAATTTTCAGTAGATCAGGGTGAAAAAAATGCAACATGGAATCGTACTAGTCCTCTTACTTAAACGTAATATCGAATGACCCAGAAACCATTTACTTGTCATTATTAAATTAGCTCAGTGATATGAAGAAGAAGTGTTCATAATACAATACAAGTGTTTATAATACAATAATGTGTGATATCACTAATGCAATTGTCACATAGATAATGTCCTAGAATGACCCACATTACCTGTAATACCATTAATGACTTACCTTCACCAAACTCATTAAGGATGACAGCAATCCTCTTGTCATGCCTGGCGCTGAGGATGTAGTTGAGCAGCGTGGTCTTACCAGCGCCCAGGTACCCCGTGAGCAGCGTCACCGGCACGCGCTCGTCTCGGCTCACAGACGGACTTGCGGACATGTTTGCTGCTCCGTCGATGGATCCTTAAGCAATGTGGAAATGCTCACTTGCAGAAATTAATGGCTTTACGATCCAAATCATGACACACTTTTTTACATGCAGCAAAACCAGAGGGCAGAAGTAGCATTTATAGGCCTTTATGCCAGGCCAAACAAAGTCAGGATCACCCACTCAAGGTCAAAATGGGCATCAATATTTGTACATTGAAGTCTTACTTATTTCATATTTGTAATCTTATGAGTGCATTGTGATGACAATAGAGCACAGACAAATCTAATGTCACAAACCAAAAAAAAAATTAGGTCATCAGGGTGACTCTTCAAATGTAGTTTCCATATAATAATTTGAAAATACCTAAAGAGCATTTATTAAATGAAATCATCAACATATACCTACACACTAGACCAACAGGACAGTTTAATGCTTACCTCTCACATTCAAGGACTGCAGCTCAGGGTCCACCAGCACCAGCTGTGGAGGTTCATCCTCTTCACTCTCACTCATGGTAATACAAAAATCTCACTCTAACTTCTACTGAAAACAAATAAATACATCAATAAATAAAGAAGCTAATAGCAGCATCACTGTCTCAGCTAGCATGCTAAGAAAATATAGATTCACCCAATTAGATGAATAACTGGATTTTTCAATTTGATGGTCTAGAAAAGCTCTATTAATTGTTTCTAGGAGCAACTGATCATCTCTGATGGGATGATAAACTATTAAAAAATAGATACCAATCTATAAATAGACATTGCCTATACGGTATTTACTTTAAATACATGGAAAGTTTAAACATTTTCTACAAATTATGTTATTAACTAGAGAGAACATATATATACCATATATATATATATATTTAAAATGAATTTTTTCAAAGTTTGTTGATGATGAGAATGCAGATTCCACTGTAAAATTATACAGTTTGTACATAATTTGAATCACATCACACTGCATTGCTGTGCAGCTAACTTGCAGCTCTTGTTATTTCTTGGCTTGAAGATTGCCTTATATTTTGGGAATTTCAGTTGAGGTTCAAATATATATTTTTATTTTACAGAGGACAAAGTGTCAACTCAGCTTTATCCTTCATAAGTGAAAAAATATTTTGGGATCATGCAAGGCACCTTGGGACTGGTAGTTGAAGCTAGATTGATGGACACTAAATATAACTTATAAAAGAACCAGCATTTGTAACAGGCTAAAATTCCACCCTATTTAGTATGTCTATATAAATGAAAAAAATTATTACTTTGAATTTTATATAATTTAAATTGGTAAAAAAGGTGTTGAGAGGTTTTTTAAATTATCAAAAATGGAAGGAAGTATAATTCTCACTTTACCACAGATATTTATGAAATAGGATGCAGGTTTTGCAAGGAAATTGTCAAAACAGATTTAGCTTATTGGTTCCAATTTCATATATTTAATACAAGAATCTATTCAGAAATTTCCATTTACATTGGTGAATGGTGATTGACTGATTGGTCATCTCAAGTAGTATTTCTCAACCAGTCAAACTTAGGCTTGCTTAGCCATCTTAAAAACCGTATATACCCATTCACAGATTCAGATAAGTCTCCACTCTCCAACTGGCAACTCAGGATAGTGAATACCGGTACATAGAAATTGAATTTCCAAACTTAAATATTCTTATATAATTACATTTACAACATTTTTCAAGAATGGCCGGAGCAGACTCCTGAAAATGGCTGTGGCAGACTCTTCCAGGGGTAACCACTGCCATGATGGACAGTGGTAAGCATTTTTTGGAGTGTGCATGGAGAATGAGGGAGAGGAGGAGGCTGGAGAGAATGGAGGCAAAGAAGGTACTATAAAGGAACAAGCAATAAAAAGTAAAATAATGGTATTTTACAATAAAGTATAATTGGAAAGAAAGTATTATCTAGTGTTTTGGGAGCTAACAATATTTGTGTGACAAATGCCCAAAAATACCATCATACCATGCAATAAGTGGGACCTAGCAATAACCAACAAAACAACATATTTATATTGAAAGAATTCTCCCTCTCCTCTATCATCCCCAGTTTCATTTATTTCATTAACCTATTACTTTCATCTTATACTTTACACAAACCATCTCTGAACTCTAAATCTTGTCCCAATATCTTGAATTCAGTACCTGGCTGAGGCTGGCTCTTCTTTTCCCCCTGCTTATGACAAAAATTAATTTTAAAATGAATGCATGATGCATGGCAGCTAGCCAATACATACAAAGGCATGACGTCTGGAGATCTTTTCAGTGTCACCAATCACTCACCATGCTCCAAAATCCAAATCTAAATGCAGATAAACCAACAAGTAGAAACATGCTTTTAATTGGCAGTTTCTATGCTTTGTCAGCAAAAAATACAGGTTGAACTTTGAAACTTTGTAGGCAGGTCCAGGTAAAAAAATTATTGTGAGTTGAGAGTTTTGACATCAGTTTACACCCAGATGCAGTTACCATTATTTATGTATATGGGTGAGGAGCCTGATGATGAGGTGAGGGAGGCCATGGCCCATGACATACGAGTTGTGACCACAAGACGGTTGCAGTCACGCAGACTGCGCAGTGGTAATGCGGCATTACTGGCATAGTGGCATGGTTATTTCTTGATCATAAACTAGATTGCATAGCACTCAATTTATCAGCATGTAAAACAGCAAAGTTAAGCTATTTTCATGTTTTTGTAAATAAGTATAAACAGATTAGTTTAATAACATTCCATTTTTCCACCAGGCAACCACAGTGTCATGCCATGATGCCTAGTGAAAAAATGTCAGAACTGAGAATTACACCAGGCTGAGTAGGTTACTGTAGGTACTACTAGTAAGAACTGGGAATTACAATTTATAGAATTTGATTGATAGGCCTGAGTCCTGACTCTTAAATGTCTTTTTTCTCAGAGTCACCACGCCCCAAATCCAATTCCACAAATTTCTCACATAATTTGAATGCTTTATGCTCTTAGGTGGGTAGATTTAGAAAGTTGTGGCTCAGTTTTGTTATAAAAAAATAGATTGATTTTTTAGAAGCTCAGAGAGGCAACACAATTGCTGTGGCAAAGTTAGTGTAATTAAAGGTAGGCTGCCAGGCCGCCGGCCCCTGTACATGCCAGCCCGCATCATGCATACCATCAACCGGGGCTTCTCAGGACGATTTCGAACTTTTTTCATTCATAACTTCTTACCATGAAACATTTCGTAAATAAGTTTAGGAACATTTCAAAGCTCTTTGCAAGGGCTATCACATGGCTTCTCCAAAAAAATTCCATATGATATTCGTAAGGTGCCAGAAGCAAAAAAAGAGTGTTCCGAGTAGCCCCATCAAACAGGGCTACTTGGGACACTTGGAATAAAACTTCATTTTAAAACATTTGAAGCATGCAGAGTGTGCTCATATATTACTAACAGTACTCTGAAGTCCTCCTCTTTCATTGTAGATGATGTAGAGGTAGAATAAATGACATTTTCTGTGATTTTTACTTGTTTTTCCTTTATTGATATATTACCATATACATTAATTACCATATTATTGATGCGATATTACCGTATTATTGATGCAATATTACCGTATCCATGAACATGACATTGAGCATTAACAACAACCTTGTCCACTGCAAGCTTCATATCAGCAGCCCTATAGCATTTTTTCTGTATCTGTAAGCTTACAGGATGGCTAGTAATTTGACACCATTTTAATTGGGTTAAGTGATTTTACTATGAAAAAAAGATCATGAAAAACATACCTGAAACAGAAAAAAATGTCTTAGTGACAACCATCATATGTTTTGGAGAAATAAATCATAGTTTAGGTCAATTACTTTTCATTCTATGATGCCTGGTGCACAATTCTAAAAATGACATTCTATGCACAATTTTGTGATGACCGATGATGCACTAATTTTTCGATAAGTGAAATTTTTTGCTGAGCGAGGTTAATGTAATCAATATTCTTTGTTTTTAATCAATTTTTTCGTAACTGGAGCCTCTACTAACTGAGGTTCTACTTTAAATGCATTTTTGGGGGTGTCCCGAGTAGCCTCGCAGTGCGGAAATGGCCACCCTTTTTTTGGATTAAGGTATGTAAATTCCGTAAATAAAGTTTTCATGCTGACACTTGTCTGCCACTTTTTTCGAAGCGAAATCTTTTAATACGGCAAATCCATCACGCTCGCTGGGGGGGAGGCTCTGGTGGTGGGCGGAGCCGGGGGGAGGCTCTGGTGGTGGGCGGGAGGCCAGCACCGAAAGAGAGGGGAGATGGGCAAAGGCAGGGAGGGTGGCCAGGAAAGCTGCTGCGGGCGCTGCCTCCACGGGGTTGTCCCACCGTGAGGAGACGCTGAGACGTGGGGAAGGCAAGACAGACGAAGAGATGCTGGACCCCTGATTGACAGTAGGGGCAAAGCAGAGAGTTTTTTAGACTCTCCCTCAAGTTCATTTTTGATTCCCATAACTATAAGTAGACCAGTAAAGTATCATGGATACCATCATCCATAGTGGCAAACCAGGGATTTTTTAGAATCAGTTCACTTTTAATTTCCTCATTTATTCAAGATTTGAACCAATCTCTTATGTATGATAATGCTGGTATCCATGATACTTTGCTTGTCTACTTATAGGGCTCAAAAATGAACTTGAGGGAGAGTCTAAAAAACTCTCTGCTTTGCCACTATGCCATCATCATAGTCATACTAGCTAACCAGCATTATGATACATAAGAAATTGGTTTTAGTCTTGAGTAAACGAGGAAATTAAAAATGAAATGATTCTAAAAAGTCCCTGGTTTGTCACTAAGCTTATGCCCGAATGCCCCACAGGGCGCAGGGGGGGGGGGCAACTGGCCAACCCTGCGGCGGCCCCTCAGGGCCTCAGCCTCAAATTCAGTTTTGAGTCCTATAAGTATAAGTAGACCAATAAAGTATCATGGATATCAAAATTATCATGCATAATATATTAGCTAAGCCTAGTTTAAATCTTGGGTAATTAAAACTAAAAATGAACCGATTCTAAAAAATCTCTGGTTTGTCAGTAAAATTGTCACTATGCCCGCCACAGGCTAAACGCTAAGGAAGCCAGACAATTAAAAAAAAATTTTAATATACATTTCTGTGCTATAATAACAATTTAACAACTAAATATCAAAGAACATCGATAGTTTTAACTTTCAAATTTATTTTTAAGGCTACTGCCGAGTGCCGTAGCTTCGCAGTGCAATGCGCCTTGTGCCGTCTGGCGTCTGCCAGTGCCCAGTTCACCGAGTTCAGACTTCAGTAGGTACTGTCGTACTGGTATACAGTAGATTGAGTAGAACCATATTTCTCCTTAGTCATTGCTATTGACATATTCATGATATTTGTCTGACTCATCGGCTCACGTCACTTTGAATTTACACTCTGCATCCTGCAATGCAATTTGTTTGATTTCATAATTCAAGGCAACACTTCGCCACTTCGGGGCTCGGGCGTGTTGAAGACTCACAGTCTCACACAATACACATTTGACATTACAACGCAGTGAATTCGTTGACCGGAATTTCGAAATCAGCTGCGATGGTGCGATCTCCTATTCTCTGCCAAATCTGGTGACTCAGTCCTGCTAGTAGTCCCAACACTCCCATGTGGTGTGGATGATGTTGTTGCTGTACCTACGATTCTTCTTCCGCGGTGTTGTTTTCATAATATTAGATGGAAATTTCGCTCACGTTGTGTAAAACTCACTTTTTTGTCTTTTAGGGCATAAAGTAGTAGCTAGCTAGCTACTACTTATTCCGTTACGGGTTCTGCTGTCGGACGGACGTGTGTCTATAGCTGTTCGGTTGTTGGGGTACTCGACGCCAATCGTTCGTTTTCCCTGATAATTTGAAGAGACTTGACATCCGATAATTGTTTTTTGTGGGCCTTATTTGTAGCAAATCATATATTCATACGTTCTATTTAGTTTTATTTTTTTTGCTACTTGTTTTTTTCTATTATTTTCTTTTTTTTTTCGTTTGCCGCCCCTGAGCGTGTGCTGCCATGGCTGCATGGCAGACGCGATAGGGTTGGCTTCTCCTGTCATAGTGGCGGCTAATTTTGAAGAAGATCACGACGGGATCAACCAGGTGAGAGCTCCTACTTTTGATCTTTTAGAGGAGAACATAGCTGTGATGGAGGATGCAACTGCAAGTGCTACTTTGGGTTCGGTTATCTCTGCAGGCAAGAAACGGGAACGCAATCCCGGCGCAGTAGCTAGCAGTGATGAGGACATTGAAGTCTTTCGACATCCTAAGAGAGTTGCCAAACGTGTTTCTAACCCCCATGTGATGGAGCTGGAGAGTTCTCCTGGTTTGGACACCAGTCACACCAGTGGGGTAGGTGACACTTGTCGTGTAAGTGATGAAGTGCCTGTAAACAAAAATCATGCTCGCATTTCCACAAATGCTACACTAGCACTCTTCATGAGTGCAGTGATTGCTCTGGGGCTTCCTTGGGGGCTGCAGGCAGCCCTAGGAGCAGGCGTCACCAACCAACAGCGTCATCAGATATTCTCATACCTGCAGCAATATTTGCAGCAATGTGGAGTGGTTGCCCTGATTTAACCTGTGTTAAAGAAATTAATTAAGTGGATGCTCTCCCTGTTGATCCTTTTTTTTTTCTTCTGAATTATTTATTTATTTTTTTTTCTTGATGCAATGCATGTTCCAACTTTGCATGTTTCTCTTGTTCTTGCTGATAAGGGTAATTAGTATGCATGCTGCACTTTAATGTCTTGATGAAACTCTGCACGCCTTCTCCAGGCAGCATTGTGACTCATTTTGCATGGGCTCGCATGTTCTTGGAAATTTGCATGACAAACTTACTCTCTGAGGTTCACACCTCTGAAGCATGAAAAGAGTCTCCTGACCTTGGGTGCCTGCTGCATCCACATTCTTACCCAGAGCTCTCTAGCTTGGGCTTGGCCCAAGTCTCTTCCTTTTATCCCCAACTAATGACTGAGATCAGGCTGGGCAGTGCAAAAGCACTCGAAGCCTTTAAACCTAATTATAAAAAAAAATATAGCTACTACTTGCAACAGAATTGGCAGCCAAAGGCCTAAAGCGTATAGGATAACAAACTAGTAAACAAAGAATTTAAGAGGAATAACTAATAACTGAATAAGGATTATAAATTTCGTATAACAGACTTTATCAATTCACATGAAATTTAATTTATCCCTACCAATATAGAATGTTTTGATACATTTTAACAATTGTGGTATACCTATAAATTTTTTATGCATTCTGGTACTGTGGTAGTGTAGTGCATAGTGGCTAGTGCCTATATCTAACTACATTTAGTACTGGTAGGTGGTAGCGGTAGGTTAGTACACAGTGACAGACCCAGGGCCAGTGACCCCACTAAGCTGCTAAGTACAGTACAATGAGTACATAATGATAATACATAGTAGTAGAGACTGTAGAGTACACACTGGCTGACACTGCTTAATCAGGAATCAGAATTGGAATTTGCCAACTTCTGAAAAAATTCGTGCTTTCTCTTGCAGCTCCAAAGTTAAAAATTTTCAAAATATTTTGAAACTGATAGAACAGACTAGGCTACTGAGACTAGATGAAGCTATGCAGGAGGCCAGGGCCCAGGAGCATATGTTCAGTCTTAGAATGCCTAGCAAATTAAGGACCAGGCAATAAGTCCAGCTACTCCAGCAGCTATCTCAAGTTCTCAACCAATCATCAGTTATGGAAATTGGAAAGATTGGGTTCCAAAGGCCGGATCCCTTGTCACCTTGTGAATCAACTTCAATCAAGTCATGAGAAGTACAAGAATCAGCAACAGCCATAGGCCTATTTCTTCAGTGCCAACACCTCTATTCTATTCTAATTATGCAGTTTTATTAACAATTGGGTATGAGATTATTCATCAGCTCATCTGATGAATAATGTTTAGCAAATTATAATAGCTGGAGCCTGGAAACTTGCGCCTCCAAGCAGGGCTGAAAAAGTCCCACCTTTTTATGAATTATGTAATATTGTGGCTCTAATATCATAGGGTAAACACACCATATTCTGACCTAAGTGACCTTAAAGACATAGCAAGAAATAAATCATTAAATGGCTATAATCTATAAATAGATCACCATATGCACAACCCGAGTTCTGATTGGTTTCCGTCACTCTCAATTTCTGAAAACACCATACTATGCGCCAGCAATGATGAAACGTTACAAACTGTTGCCATATTTATTTAGAAGCCTTTAGAATTCAAATCTACAAGATTGCTGAATTCCGACTGTGTGTGACTAAATGCGGCATATTGTGAGACTAATCCCGACAGTGCTCCAATTTCAAAATCGTAATTCATAATTCCGACACCATGTGTTGGAATTCCAAAACCCTGTGTAAGCTGTGTCGGAATACGGCAGTAAACGACAGTACGACACTCTGTTTGTCGTAATTCTGACACCCTGTGTTGGAATTAGTTTTTGTGTGCCTAAAACTGTCTCTTAAATCAATCATCTATTAATTTATTAACCACTTAAAATCTGCAAATACAAGTATACTTGAAGGATTCCTAATATATTCATAGACTTATTTAAAAGTCTCAAACCATAGTGTTCTTTCTACTCAAACAGTTTATCACTATATAGTAAAGCAAGGTCAACTATCAACTTTCATACGTGTTTCGGTGTTCTCGCTAGTTGACTTGGACTTTCGCTCTGCGGATCTTAATATTATCCCGCTAGACATAGTGTGTTGCGGAAATCTGGGGTGCAATAGTATGACGTCACTATTTCAACCATCTACGCATGCGTGGAACTAAGACCAAGCTTAATATAAATGAAAAAGTTGAGGAGTGTCTGAATTACCCACAGTGTTGGAAAGTCGTGCATTTACCCTACTTGAAATTTAAGCAAATATCTTGTGTATGATAATGCTGGTATCCATGATACTTTACAGGTCTACTTATAGGACTCAAAAATGAACTTGAACACATGTCTACAAAATATAACTCGGTACTCACTGCACTGACTGCAGTGAGTGACAAAGAGTGCATTTTCTTGTCGACAAAAATGTGAAGTCACGGGCGGATGGACAGATGGACATGGCAAGCACAATTGTGCATTTTTTCCATAAATGAGAAAATGTGCTAAAAAGTCTATCCTTGACACTATGATGTGTTATACAAATATATCACACTTAAAGCTCATTTATGACACAGTTGTTGCTGCTATTTCTATTTTATATGTCATCCCAGATTTAGCTAATGCAATTTCCTTTCTTTGATTTGAACTTCACACATATTTAGTTTTGTTTACCAGAGTGTTCTGCAGATGCAAAGTTAAATTTTAATTCATTTATTATATGTAACTCACGTTGAATGGTGGAATTAGTGGCAATATATACTGCCTAACCCACCTGTGGAGTTCATTAACAGATAAACAAAACTGTTAAATGTTGCATTTTTTCCATTTAGGGCTTGCACTTGACTTCACTTGTTTTTATAGCCGTAGCCTCATTTCTTTATTAAAAATGAGAATAATGCCACATTTTTTCCACAATTTTCAAATATATTTTTGAAAATTTAATTTTTGGGAAATTCTGCCCAATATACCTGATTAGTTTTTAATCTAGTGTGAAAAAGATCTACTTTCAGGGCCTTTACTGAATATTTGGAGCAACAAGATTTTTGTTCACTTAGAGGCAACTAAGCACATGATAACTCAATTTTTAAATTTTGCTTAAAGAAATGAGTTATAATGCAGTCAGACACAACCCACTGCATCTTTTGAGCCTCAACACATCCATTCCACCATTTTTGAAACTGATATATTCCTGCTGAATGAATTGCCTCCTATTTTATTTAATTTTTTATAAAAGTACTCAATCAGGCTGCAAGATTCCAAATGTATTTGAAATTTGGCACTTTGTTGCTGCAATATTGTATCAATAAGTAGGAAAATTCCTATCCTGACTGCAACTGTGCAATCAATAAAAATTACATATTCATGATTTGTGATATTTTCAATTGAACCATAATACATGACTTAGAAGCCACATGATTTCATACCTTACAAAATCAATAGTTGTCATTATAATTTGGTACATAGGTTTAATAAAAATGGCTTGGTTTCTATCACTTTAAATTATGTTTTAAATTTCAGTAATGCCTTGGTGATGTATATACATTTGTGAATATTAGCCTCTTCTATTAAGTATTCTGTAACAGTTGAAATGAGTGAGAAAAAATATGTTGGCCTCAGTGGAGAATACAAGCGCTTTCATAAATTGTTGAAGCCATTGAAGAAAATTCATAAAGACACCTTACATGCCATCCACAATCTATTTGAGTCTGATGACCTTTATCCAGGTTTGTCTTTTTATTATAGCATGAAATGACCTAATATTCTCATGTTTTTGCCTAAGTTATTTTGGAATATGAGAATATGTTCATATATACTACATCTGAATAATATTCATCTGTATCAGCTAATTACATCATAGATGATAAAAAATTGGTAATTAAATCATTTGCACACATTACACAATATGCACACACTTTACACAATATGAAAGTATGAAAATAAAGTAAAACAATTTGGTTACTCATCATTTCAATGGCCATTTGATAGGTTTGTTCCATGTATCTGTTGATAGATAATATATGTATGCATTTATTTATCATTTATTTCAGAACAAGTGGAAAGCATCAAGCCAACTGAAGGAGAACTGCATGCATTGCAGAAGCTCTTGAATTCACCACTGTCCATCATCATAGCAGGCCAGGACAATTATGGGAAAGTTGTTGTGCTCACAAAGCTCCTAGGTACTCGGCTGCTGCCTTTTGCTGGCCAACAGCACACATGTAACACAGTTGACAGCAGCAGCTTCATCCACAACAGTAGTTTGGATCAGGTCAGTTGTTCTGCCCTAAGTGATGCAACTCATGACTATGGAGCCAGAGACAGCACTGCATTTCCTCTTTACCTTCCAGCTTGTGAGGACACAAAGCTTTTTAATTGTGATATGCAAGCACAGCAAAGAATTGAGTCCTCTAGTAATGGAAAACAGGAGCGTCCATGGAGAGGGATTCGCATTTCATACTCTTCCAGTCAAGTAACTTACTCGGTTGTACGACCTGAGAATGTTGGTTCTTCTTGCCCCTGTGAAGATGATGAGAATCCTATTACTGCTGCACAAAAAATTCCAACTCCTTCAAATACACCAACTGCCATCCTTTTTAATTCGCCAAGTGAGTTTTCAGAAGCATCAACTCAGCCGGTGGTTAGTACAACCTCTGTGCAGACGACTGCAAGAATAAGTCCATTCTCAGGACGCCTGCAGGGAGCAGTTGTAACTGGCCAGACCAGCAACCATCCTGCTTCATCACTGCCACTAAATGAAGACATCACCATTGCTCAGCTGGAGGACTTGTTGGAAAATAAACTTAGAACACATCTTGAGCAAAAACAGAAGATGGAAGAGGTTGATGCCAATCTGATCAGACCTGAAAATGCCATCAAGGAAGTACCTTTGTCTGAGATAGAGCTATCAAATGAACATCTGCAGGTAATTTTTGAAGATTCTTCTTACTTATGTCTTTCTATAATGAAAGTAGGATGCTTCTTTTGCTAAATTATTTACTTTCATGTGTTTGCTGTATCTACCTTCTGTTGTTTCCTAACATCGTATCAAGCTTTTCAATATATGATGGATGTAATGTTGATATTATGATCAACACTGAAAATGACATAACATTGCTAATAATCTAACATATAACTTGCCACGTATAAAAATTTTTGATTACTTTACAGCCAAAAGCTTTTGAGATAGGTAACTGATTCAGTCTTGCATGCCTTGTTAAAAGTTGTTTCCAAAACCCCACAGGACCCAATCTTGCGAGACGCTCTACTGGACATTTGTTTGAATCATTGTCTCCTGAAAGAGCAAGTACAAATCATCGTAACACCCACCATAAATAAATATAAGTGTTCAAATGTTGCTCGGAACAAGGCTCCAGGTGAGAGTTCGTTAACTGCTTCTTCTAGCAACAAGGAAAATGAGGCTGTGTGCACGACTGAGAGGGTACACAGTGAAAGAACCCCAAAAGATTCTCCACTACGAAGTGTTCCTCTAGATATTCCATGTACAAACATTATCCCTCCATCACCAAAAATCGAAATCCCGAAGCCAATGAAGTTTTTGCATCAGAACAAATATTGCAGCGACTTAGTAGAGGCCTTGATTGACACACAATCTTCTGTGCTGGCGTTCGGCACTCCTTTCTCATCGTTGCATCCACCTCAGTTCGGGAGGTCGACGCCATCGTTGCTCTCGTCTCATTCCTCTCACGAGTCTCTTAATTCTTTCAAATCTCTTCCCATAGAGACTTCCATGTATCAGACACCTGTTGCTTCTTACGTTGTTCCGTTACCTAAACTCGTTCGTTCTTCATCCCATCCAACTGCTTTGGATCCACCTGGACTCGTTCCACCAACTGTCCTCAACGGCCAGCCATTTCCCTCAAGTTGTAACCCAGCTGAGATTGCAACCTCCCGAGAGTTTGAAACTAAAACAAAATCGTCGTACAAGTTTTCTGCGGCTGGGATGCAACTTCCGTCTCCTATAAGCGGGGCCGTTGGGACGATCGGATTGCCTGAACCCTCAATTCCAAATTGCATTTCACCATCTACAGGCTTTTCTGGTACTGACGAACCTACTACTGGCGGATTAACTGCCACCTGTAGTTCTGCGAGCGTCGACAGTTCTGTGGAGGATTGTAAGGGCTTCATGGGAACACTTTTGCCTAACGTCAATGCTGTCATTCTCTATGCCGTCACCAAAGACCACTTCACCCCTCAGGTGTGTTAAGACATTTTTTTTTCTTATAAAACGCGAGTTAATTCTGATTCTGTGAATTGTTCCTATTGGTAGTTATTTAAATTTCTGCAACTTCGGCCTTCTCTTTTGCCCTTATTTGCAATCCTTTTCCATGCTTCCTGATATATTTGAATGTGAGATTTGTCACTCAGCATATTGCATTTTACGTATTTTACCTTCAGAATATCGACGAGCTGCAGGAGATCAGGAGCCATACGCCGCCTTGCCCAGTGATTTTCGTGCGCGTACCTCCCATCCTGGGCGCGCTCAGCGAGCTACCGCACGACCAGCAACGACGTCTCCTGATAGACACGGGAATCCTCCGTCCCTTCTCTGATATACCCGCCGATGTAGATCAGGAGCCTTCCGAAAAGAGAAACTCTTGTGAAAAACCTCTAACTGGCATTAAAGTTAATGATGAAAATACTAAAGGCTTCCGCGATGAAAGCACTGAAGCTGAAAATGCGTTTAGTGTTGGTGAACGAGAAGCTGCAGATTGTGCTGCGACAATAGTGCCTGTCGACACACCTGAACCTATGACGATGGATAAGGACGTGCACGAAACTAAGGTCTTTGTCGACGACGTTCATGTTTTGGAGGCGCCCAAAATAAATGAAGATGAAGTATCGTGTAATGAATGTCTTACCCCTGCAGGAAATGAAGCAGATGCTCATCCTATGGTGTTTATGATGGACAATACGCCAGTGATGGGGGCAGGTCCTACGAACGACGTGACCAAACCTCTTAAGGGAAAAACAGTCAAATTTTCCGATAATGCCCGCGATAACGAGAATCGAATCAAGGCTGGAATATCTTCTAAAGCGAACGACCTGCGCTTTGGAAAACGGGATAAAAATTGTATTACAGCCGGCAACTGTTGTGAATCGTATACGGGAGAGGAAGCTAAGAAAATTCGGAAGCTGACAAGTGATATCTACGAGTTAGCTGAGCGACAACGTGATGACGCTCTATCCCGCCCTAACGTCGAAACAAGTTGCAGTCAACCTTCTGATGCGAGGGTGGGCCAGTCGAGCTGTACCGTCCAACGCCCCATTATCAAGAAACGCTCCGAGAAAAACTGGTGCAAGATGCCTGCGGAGATCTTGCGCGTTTTAAATTATGATCTTAACTTTTTGAGCGAAGACGAGAACACGGCTAGCCCACACGTCGTGCATTGTCATCTGATGTGGGAAGATCTGAACATTTCTGAGATCTCCAGAAACCCATTTATCCAGTCATACAGCAGGAAACCTCACTCTGCTGTCGAAGCCAACTTGGTTGCGAATTTAGGCTCATTTTCAGATATCTTGAATGACTCTGAAGAGACCGAAACTTGCGAGGAAAACCGAGAAATTGCGTGTACTGAACTGTGCGTCGCGTGTGGCGTCATTGAAAGCTTCGCTGATTTTGATAAACTACATGCGTGGATCAAACTGGTCTTACGCAGCCACGTCGCCTACACATCAGAACTGCTCAACAAGGTGAATTTTATGATCGACGCTCATTTATTAAATTTTTTCTGCATGGGCAGAGTCTTTCTCACATGTTCTTTTACAAGTTTATTCTCGTTGTGCAATTCACGCTTCGCCAGCGAATATATAAATTACACGATGTTTGTGACAAGTGAACGTGCACATTTTGAGAACAAAATCTTGGAAATCAACGAAAGCTAAAACAAACTAATGTGGGAAATCTTGAAAATCGTTAGCAGCTATTGGGTTTCCTGAATGTTGCATATAAAAATAACAATGAAGGTAATCCGATGCCATAAATGTAACAGCTTTGAACTCCGGAGCCGAATTGTTATAGAATTCATTTCACATCTTTTTACTTCGTTTTTCATATAATTTTGTACGTCCCCACTTGAATTTTAAATAGGTTTGACAAACTTAATACATTGTTCAACCGGTACTTTTCAAATTACCACCCATCGGCGAAAATTAAACTTCACACTCATTCTTGCATCAATACCAGCAAATACCTGAGCAGACACAGCTTCTCGTCTCCTTTTTTCCTGCAGATACAAGGCCGCTGTCTCTCCAGCTTCGTGGTGTTCGCGTTCATCCCTTATTTCCCCACAGATTCAAGGCCGCTGTCTCTCCAGCTTCGTGGTGATCGCGTTCACCCCTTATTTCCACACAGATACAAGGCCGCTGTCTCTCCAGCTTCGTGGTGTTCGCGTTCGAGTTCACCCGGCAGATGCAGGTTGCTCCACGGCGTCTTGAGTACGCACGGCAGCAGGAGGAGCAGCTGTACGACGAACTGCTCGCCGTCGCGCGCAACAAGGAAGAGAACATTAGGCTCCTCATCGCCAAGACGCTCGACCAGGACAGAGATCTCCTACTGCGTCGGGTTCAGCAAATGCCGCTTGAAGGTTCCTCATATTATGTTTATAATAATTAGTGCATATAGAATTGAGTCTCTAGTTACTGATTCAATAACGTATTGCATCATATTCTTTAATTGCTCTATTTAACGAAACTTCCATCTAATATTCAGTTACCTGTTGATTATAAAAATAAACAATAAATAAGAATCTCGAGTCACCCCATAAGGCGGCGACTCAGTAAGATTGCTTGTTTTCAATGTGGATTGCCAATTGTTAAAAAATGAACTCTTAAATTATAATTTATTTGGGTTGATATTTCTTGTTAGATTCATGTCAGATATCTGCACTGTAAATTGATACTTCTTTATTAAACAAATTTCACTTGAATTTTTCACTTCAAGAAGTTGTTCCATGGTTGATTTCGTTTTGTAGTTCAATTATTATATTTTATTCTTATTTACACTTTTATTCAAGTGTATATTATTATAACTTCCCTAAGTACACGTAGCGGGGGTTAGGTGGGTTAGCTTGAAAAGCCGCCAATGTTTGGCTGCTGGATTTACGATTTCGTAACTATTAGTGATAGTACGACTCTTGATTGTTCAACGATTTAACTTAATTTGCAGGCGGGAGCGAGACGTGGGAGGCGGCGGTGCAGGAGTGCGTGTTGCGTGAGGTGAACAAGCGCGTGGGGCAGCAGTTGGTGTGTGGGGTGCAGGGGCTGCGTGAGAATTGTTTGGGCACGCTCAGGCGCTGCCTGGCGCAGCTCGAGGAACACTGCAGCAAAGAGCGTGATCAGGCCAGCGTCTCTTTCGCCCTAAAAAAAGTGAGATATTTTTTTTAGCGCATTTTCTCATTTATGGAAAAAAGGCGCTATTGTGCTCGCCATGTCCGTCTATCCGTCCGTGACTTCACGTTTTCGTCGACGAGATAATGCGCTCTCTGTCACTCACTGCAGTGAGTACTGAGTTATATTTTTTAATGTATAAGGAATGTCAAATGTGTAGCTCAACTGCACTGTTAATGGGTAGTCACGTGTTAGTGAGGACGCGAAATTTGTGTTGCTCTCTATTGCTCTAAAACATAGGACGATTCTTAGTTACATATGTCTCAAATTGTTCGATGTATAATGATGTGTGAGGTGTTCCGGCCTTTTATTGAGCTAATTTCGACGAATTAACTCTCAAAATCCGCTTTGAACTGACGAATGTTACTAAATCTTATATTACTTTTTTTTTTAAATTAGAGTATCGTGTGAAGCATTAATTCTGCAGCATGCCCCCTGCTTCGCAGCTCGTCAACGCCGCGTATCAGGTCGAGGTTCGCCCCACGTCCTCGTGGGGTCTGCTGCGCAGCATGTGGGAGCGTATCAAGGAGCTGCTCACCGGGGGTGCGTCCGCTCCTCTCGACGAAGGTGCCTCCCTCAGGCGCAGGACCGCCCCAGGGTCGCGGGAATGGAAAAGACAAATCGCCGCCGACATGATCAGGGGCCTCAGTGAGAAGAGACTGGCACGCACCATAGCTGCCCAGGTACGTTGTCTTACTTTGGTAGTGGAAAGAATCAGGTATCTCCCCACCTGTTTCTAGCAAGTATTGGTCTTGAAGTGCTAAAAAACGTTTATTTTTCTCCTATCTGTGGTTTTACTTCATTTCAAGTACAACGAAATTTATTTTTAATTCAGTTAATTTAACCGCAATGGAAATTGTCAATTAAATTAAAGACACATCTGCAAAACATTCAAAACTAAAAAATGCTGTTCCCAGTTAACCTACATAATGTTCAAATGTTGGACCTTATTTGCTTCACCATGCATGTAAAGCAGGCACACTGTACTCAATTCATTAATGCTTATGTGATGTTGAGAAACAGATAAGTGGCGAAATAAAGGCTGCACACAGCATGTTCCTGAGCTACATGGAGCTGCTGGAGACACAACTCAACGAAATGAACAACAGCATTGAGCGCAGGAAGGATCAACTGAAGGGTGTTCATGCCCCAAAGCTTGCCAAACTTGCCCTTCACACAGACGCTATCAACAACAGAGTCAAATATGGTGAGTTTATATCATTTCACTTTAATTACGGTTAAGATCAGCGATACACAGTATTTAGTATTATGACTGAATGCAGGTCTGTTGTGTGGAAATTATTAATATAAACGTTGACGACACGACGTAGCTCTAAGGATCGTCTCCAGCAGCAGCGGCTGTATTACTGCGCACATTGACCGCAGGCTTGCCGGTGCTGGGAGGAGAGCTCGGTCGTGGTCACTTCGGCGTTGTTTATTCGTGCAAAAGTTGGGCGAAATATTCACCGTGCGCCGTCAAGACGCTCCTGCCCAGAGACAGCGCTCAGTGGCGGGATATCGCCCTCCAGTATCACTATACAAGGTTATTACACGCCCAACATCGCTATCGCAGAATTATAATCCATCTGATGATTTAATAATACGCTATATTTTTCTGCCTCTTCTGAAGTTGTCTTAGTATTCTATTTGTGTTGCATTTCTTGCACCACCATTTCGTTGTCATTATTATATTCTTTCATATTCAAGCTTATAGGTTGGATCCTCATTATGAATATAGGCTAATCTCTGTAAATGATAGGGTGGAATTTTCATGTTGTTTTCGTCGGTAAAAAAGTAGTCGTAAGTAGCAGGAGTTCCTATTTGACTCCTGGTATTAATGCGATTTTCTTGAAACTTGGCGCTCACAGAGTGGCGGCCATTGTTCAAAATCATTCTGACGCACAACTGTTGTGACTGGTAGAGCGTAAGTGGTATCTGAGCGTACGACCGATTGATGCCCATAAGCAACTTCTGAACTGACTACCTCCAATGAGATTTTTGGGCCTATGTAACATAATTAAAAGAGATCTAGCCCAATATCCTTGCGATATTATCTTGTGCCAAGAGGTCAGCCACGTGTTGCATGTCAACCTCACGACTCGAGAAAATCATGACACGTAACCGCGAGCTGCGAACGCTAATGTAACCAGAGGAAGAGACGATATGGACCTCCGCGATGAGAACTGGGAAAATTAAGCCTGACAACCAACGTTTACTTGGATCATAGTTGCATCAGAGACCGTTCAAGGAACCTAACGATGTCTTGACGGAATTGGAAGTTGCGTCTTTGGCACAGCAATTAGACCCTGAGCGTTAGAGATCTCATGTTGCTAGAACTTTCGTTTAGATCAAATTGGGATTGAACATTTGTGTGTAGTCTGTGACTTTAACCCGTTAATAACAGCTACAATTATTAGAGCTTGAAGCTTACTGGCCACCTACTTTAACATTTGTCCAGGTTGATGGGCTACCACCCCCGTATCGTTGGTATCCACGCTTGTCTCATCGACAAGTACTACGGCGAGGGCAACAAGCCCGTTCCGGGGCGCGCTGGGGGCGGGCGCGAGCGCTGGGGCAGCGGCTCACGGAGTGGAGCTAAGGCTCATGGCAGCAAGAGCGGTGCGCTCAGCAACCAATGCGTGCTACTTATTATGGACATGCACGAGTGCGACCTCGACACCGCCATCAGGAGGGGACTACTGTGGTACCAGAGGCTACGGGTGAGCTGAGTTTATTTCTGCTGGATGGTTCGTAGTGCTCTGGGATTTTGAGAACTTAAGGACTACGTATTTAAAATAATTGGTTTCATGTTTATTTTGCCGTTCTTGCTCAAAATGGGAAAACTATAACTTTTATAGATAAAAAATTTCAAACATGAGCAGATTCATCCATTTTGCTTTGAATTTTGCGAATACACATGGTTTGAGTACGAATTGGCTAAATATTCGTACTAAAATTTGATTCGCTGAAATGTACCCCACAGATTGCACTTGACGTGGTACTTGGCATTCGTTTCCTGCATTCACAAGGCCTCATCCATCGTGACATTAAACCAAAAAACGTTCTTGTAAGTGCAATACTATGATAGATGTTTTATTAATACGTTTCTTTAGGATTCTTAATGTTCTTTAATGCACATTTCGCCGAAGGCCAGAGAGTATTTCTTAATAACAAATTTCCTATTCTTTTTCTCAGTTCGCCCAATTAAGCTTTTGAAGGTAAAATTTGATAATTTGACAATAAGGCTACCAGGAGATGTTATAATTTTACGAAGTCTCAAATACACTCTCAGTTTTAAGTAAAATGAAGGTTTTACAACGCTTAAAATTTAGACTTGGTACAAAAACTTGGTATTAAGGATATAGCTCGAAAGTTAAAGCTCAAAATTTCTCCGCAAATAATTTCGACGTCCTGATAAACCAAGATTCTAAATGTATGCATTTATACAAAATACTGTGGCGGAAAATAAATTATTTACAGTTAGAAATTTAGGTTTCGGTAAATATCTATTTTTCTAGATGTTATTATGTATCTTTTGTACTGTAGATCGACGTTAAAGGTCGCGCTAAAGTCACCGACTTGGACTTCTGCAAGCCTGAAGCCATGATGACGGGCAGCATCGTGGGCACCCCCATCCACATGGCGCCCGAGCTCTTCTCGGGCAACTACGACAGCAGTGTCGACGTTTATGCGTTCGGTGTTCTTTTCTGGTACCTGTGCTCCGGAAAAACGAACATGCCACGCAACTTTTGTCTCCAGAAAAGCAAGGAAGATCTCAAAGTAGCGGTCTTCAAAGGTAAAGAAACCTGTGTCTTATGCTCCTTACATTTTTATTCCATTTTCGCATAATATATTTCTACTATATTATTACGCATCAAAGTCGACTTGGAAATGACAATCGCGAAGTTGACCGACCAGATTCTAGCATTAATTCTTTTCATTTATATTAGATTGAAAAAACGTTGAAACCATCGAATTACATTTACGATTAGATTGAAAAAAATTTTCTCGATTAAACCTATCGTGCTATAGAAATGTATAGTCTCACACACTAAATTCTTTATCTTAATTGCAGTTGCGAAAATATAGATTCGTCTTTGTATGTTTCTGAACTTTAAATTATCCGATACGCATTGATGATTCCTGATCGGTTTTGTAAGAAATTTGCATTAAAATGTCTTTCGATGTAGGAAGTTTTGAAACTTACTCCCTGCCCTCCTGAAGTATACGTATTGGTATTTGAACTCAGGTCTGTTTTGGTCGCGTCTAAAAATTTTCAAGAGCAGTTGTTCGCTAGTCAAAGAAGCACTCGCATCTTGTATCTTATAGTCTAAATTTTGTATGCAGGAATGCGGCTATCCCATTTTGAGTCTTATTCTTGCGTGCAAGCAAGAATCTGGTTAAAATACATTTATTCTTATTCCTTCATGCAGGAGTGCGCCTATTTTATAGTCTTGACATTGCATGCTGGAGAGCGGCTATCATATAGTTAGATTTATACTTGCGTGCAGGAGTGCGGCCGGAGTGCCTCTCGACGTTCAGCCCGGAGTGTTGGGCCATCATGGAGCAGTGCTGGGCCTCGGACCCCAGGGACCGTATTTTGCTGGGTTTTGTTGAGGACCGTCTATCCGAAATGCTCAAAAAGAGCTTGGATGACATGAAAGAAGAAGATGTGAGTCTTACAGACGCTACTTGAACTCGTTTCAGAAAAGTTTGTGCCCGAGATGAAACAGTTGATCTTATTTTCGGCATACTCAAGTATAAAAATGAATAGATTTATTATTTATAATACTAATGTCTGCCGAATAAATGGTTGAATTTTGATGAAAGCTCGTCTGAGGTAAAATCTAATTATAATTATTAGATCGATTTGTGACGTCACTCAAACGGTTCCCTAAACGAATTATTAATATCATGAACTTCAATTCCATGAGAAGTTCGTCGTTTACCTCGTGTTGGTCCTCGGATTGTCTAAACATATTGATAATAAAACCAACCTTTGCAGCCCCAGAAATTGTGCCGGATCGTATCTTTCGAGAATCTTGATGATGCTGCTCTGAATACGTTTAGGCGTGCTCTAGGATGTCTTTATCCTGCATATCTCGATGTCAATTTACGTTTTTTTTGCAGGGAAACAGCACTTTTCTCAACACGACCGGCGGAAGTGAAAACTCTGATAACGACTCTTATTCTAGCGTGTCGGATGACTCAGAATGACCGCTACATCGTAAGGAATGACGAAGAAGTATTAGATGTTTAGCGAGTCGAGGATCTTGGCAGGAGCTAAACTAAGTAGTTAAAAAAATATACAAGTAATTGTTGACTTGCAAACAATGGTGTTCATATTCTCAGGGAAGTTGGTTCTCATCATGCACAGATTCTACACGTATCATTTATTTGCTCGTCAATTACCATTTAACATAAATGTGTCCTCAACAATCATTGCAATTATTGTACGTGTTTTCTTTTGAATGAAACGGGCTCTCACGCCGAACTCAAATAAACATATTGGTTTTTTAGATGAATAATAATTCATCTTATTGCTTTTTACTATCTCTATTTTTAGAGATAATATATTTCGATTAGGCCGCGTAAAAATTGAGATTAGAAGTTCTAAACTCTATTTCAAATGCCTTGAATTTCGCCGTTTTAGTTTATTGTCACTTATGTACATGATTTAGCTGACTTACAGCACGTATTTAGTCGGTTTTCGAACTATTGATCAATATTAATCATGTATAGAGCGAGATATATCTGCTCTCTTGTATCCAATTAATCTGCGGCATATCAAATTTACCCGGTAGTCTCAAGTGAGTCTTTATTGCAGAAGCTTTTCGTGAAATAATTTCCCAGCGATCCTTTAACGATCTAAAAACGGTGTTTTGATTATAGAAAAAGTTGTTAATTTTTAATAGATGTGCCTGTCAATGGTGACACGTCTGTCCCTGTCGCAGACTCGTAGGTACAGTATCTCAGTTCCTGTAAGGCGACATCTGTTACACTTTCTCACGTGTCAGTGGCTCTGATTTCGTCCAACTGTCGATTTCAGAGCATCTTGTCAGAAGTAATGTAATCTTAGCTATTATATTGTACAACTGAAGCGCTGTCGCAATCTCCCGTGTAGTGCCGCTGTGACTATGACGGCGATGAACTCGCTGCATAAGGGGTGGGTTAGAATATGACGATAGCAGTTCATAACTTTCACAGGTGAATGTTTGTGATATTTGTCATAAGAGATCTTTCAAATTTCCTATTGCAGAAAGATATAAAGCATATATATTATTTTAAATTTATATTATTCAAGTGTTATTTCCTTATCCTTGCCCATTGACTGAAGATGAGGGTGCTTCTGCTTTCTGATAAACTTTCTTTGCACAAGAGCTAATCCTAAATGTACTTCTTGATAATTTCAAACGCTTAACAAATTGATCGACACATGACGTTCGTTCTAAGTTTTCCATGCCAGATAATGACAATCATCAGTCTCGTGAAGTAGTCCAATTTAACTGGGTGGCTAACCGAGCATATTTGATTCATACTCGAATGTAAACACCAAACACTTTCAAATTAGGTAGTCTGAAAGTACATAGATTTGCAGTAGATTTTTACTGTTATATAATTGTTAATGTAAGCGTGTTAGAATAGCCAGGAATATCAAGTCCTAGAATTGGTCGCATTTCACTCCGTCATATTGAATTGTATATTACTTTATCTAGTTTCAGTTCGGTGATGTCATCATCAGTCATCATCAGCTTCCAAGTTAATATTGTTCCCAAACTTAGCATAAAGATCAGCTTTGAGCTGGGACATTGATGCCTCCAAATCTGTAGCTTTTGATTTAAGCTGAGCTATTTCTTCATTGATGGACTCCTTCTCTTTGCCAATACTTTCTGCAGCAGATTCCTGGAAGAATTAAAATATAATGAAGTTGATATGAAGCAGAACAGTTTTTAGCTAAACTGTTTTTCAGTTGATCATTACAATTTAAATATCTAATCTCATTCATTGCAACAATATACAGCCTTCAAAAACGTTTATCTAGACAAAAAATTCAGACTTACTTTCATCAGTGCAGAAAAGCAATAGATAGGAAGTGTTGAAGTAAGGAGATAAGTATCAGCATCATTGCAAAAAAAAAAGGAATGTTACTACAATCAAGCTAATTGCTTTCCTCACCTGAGTCTTCAAAAGGAATACTTCTCCAAGAAGATAAGGTACTTTTTCATCAGCATCTAGAGCTATCATCATTTCATCTTCAGCATCTCCCAAGTTGTGCAGGTCAGTCTGTAAAATGTAATAATCTTTCATTTTTTTCCAACAAATTACTTAAAATTTTACATCAGAAAATTTATTTATAGCAAATAAAGTTCTCCAACACTTAAAAAATTAATTTATTTTGCTTCTATTGATGCTGGATTTGGATATCTTTTAAAAAATAGCAATAACTGGAAAAATACCTATGCAGAACTTGAGATTTTTCAAAGATTACATTTAACATTAATTCAAATTTCCAACAATAAGAAGAATGTGATAGCTGCTTCATATTACAAGAACTCACTTCTTTAGTCTTCAGTTCTTCCTTTACTTCCTCTAATCTGGTGTTACACCTTGCAAATTGGTTTATTTTCTGCTGGTCCTCATATGTAAGATGCACATCTTCCTCCTGAAGAGCCAAAGTATAAATTAATCAATAGAAATAAAACTTCTTGTTGAACATGTACTATATGTAAGAAAAAAATTATAGTATGAAAGTGGATTGATTATGAAAATTCAATACATTTTCATGCTGCTCACAGCCTCACACGAGTCTTATGATGAGACTGAGAGAAAGGCTCTTTTGGTTTTCATTCCATTCATTAAAGTCAAGGAAAATGTGCAGACCATTGATGACTGCACTAGTTAAAAATATCTAAAAATGAACAGGTCCAATATTTGTTATAAAAGGAATCTCCTTTTTTGGATTTTCCAATCCAGTTTAATATGCAAGCCTGTTTTATCATTATTTAGTCCAGCAATATAGATCAACAACCATTCCTTAAACTGAAAGTACACTTCACATTACACGAGGACAGAAATTACAGGAAATAATGATGGAATTTAATGATAATAGCGCTCAGAAAATTTCAAAATTGACAAAGAAAAAGTTGCATGAAATTTGGCATTGTTTCTATATAAATTTATGGTAAAAAAACTCAAATTAAGAAAGAGTAGAAATCTGGACTCTGGAGGTAGAGTACCAGTATATCATAAGTTGGTACATGTTATCCAGACTCCAGGGGCAGCCCTGGAGCCAAGTCAGCCAACCATTTAATACATAGGAACTTTTCACATAGGAACTATACTATCATGAAGTGCATATTGTTAATTGTTGTAAAATAATCTCTGAAGTGTGAAGACTATTAATATTTTAATTCTATTCCTCAAATGATAAACATCTATTTTATGGCAAATTTTACAGTATAAATAATTATATATTAATTATTAGATAGTTTTTAGGCATTTTCATTTTAATCATCTGGTAAAAATGGATAAAAAGTTAGACTGCTAAGTGCTACACTGAGACTGACTACTGAGTGAGTGCTAAGACCTTAGACAGACTGCCTGCTAGTGCTACAATCACTTGCCAGTTGCCAATGAATGATTATTATCCCTGAAAATGCTATTTCAATCTCATATTTCATGCTCACCCCTGATATATTATCCAATCCAGCCATTTTTTTCAAAGTTTGGTGTCCTAAAATGAACTATATTTATCCTTCCGCACTCCGCAGTTCTGCTCAACCCAATACAAACTGGACTTGGCCGATTTACGATGATGTAAAGGGCCGGAGTGAAAAAGAAAAATGTGTCTAACATGGTGCGATTAAATTTCTGGAACACACGGTCTCGTACATGCTGTGTGTTATCAATTTATCTCGAAATTATTCTACCTAGAATCAATCATAAGTACGCGGCCGCGCTCCAGATTCAGTGAACATCGAATATCTCCCAAAGTACTGAACGTAGCTCGACGAAACTTACGTCTCGGACAAATTTACGGCCGGACCCGCGGCCGGTCTCGCGGCCGCCGGACTCCAAACAATCGAAAAAACCTAGCCAATCAACAAAAATCTCGCAGGTTAAGTCCAGTTAGGAACAGGTTCCATTAAAAACACAAAAAAAACTAGAAAAACCCATAAAAACACCAAGAAAACCTTCCGACCGCGAGACCTGCCGCGGGTCCGGCCGTAAATTTGTCCGAGACCTCGTTATTCTCACCTCTCTCATTCAGAATCACCTTCATCATAGACTGACGCTCTCTCTCATACGCCCCACATTCCATCAACAAGTGCTCCACCGTTTCCTTCTCATGACAAGTGTTATAGGTCCGCTGATAAGAGCTGGTAAGGGTGGAAAGACTTGGCTCGTGGTAGCTGGAACAGCCACAATCGTCACTCTTACGTCACTGCTGCGCTGACTGACCAATACCCCACTGTTCCTTTTGATTGGCCCGACTCTTCCTAGCATAAACTGGATAGGTTTATGCTCCAGTGAAGAGACAGTGAATGTGCCGACTGTTCCTCACATAACTTTTTGGATTTATGTGTCAGTGAATAGATGGTTTGTCAAGTGTTCCCATAGAAGGAAGAGTGTTCCATTTATCTTTCTGCACAAGTAGTACCTGAAACGTAGTAAAGCAGGATGGCTGGTGGAAGGTCCAAAAAAGCATCAGAAAAAACGAAGTTGCCCCCTTCACATCCGTCTCAAGAAGACGGGAAAGGTCGAGGCGAGGCACAACCGGTTATGAATGCGGTTGATACGTGTAATTTCTGCTTGAAAGATTTCACCGATGCAGGTGACCAAATGGTTATTTGTGAAAGATGTAGTTCACCATCAAATTTCCGAAATTCGTGTGTTGGGTACTTTTCGCTTTAATCATAAATCAGCCCGACACACGTTTTTTGGGGCGAGCCATAATTTATTTTCTACTTTTTAGTCCACAAGAAAAACGTGTTTTTTTTAAAAAGTTTTTTTTTTAAGTATTTTATTTTCTACTTTTTAGTCCACAAGAAAAACGTGTTTTTTTTAAGTTTTTTTTAAGTATTTTATTTATTTATCTTTTCCACTCTTTTTCATCCCTCTCTATCCCAATCGCACACCGTACTGTCACCACCCATTCGTCCTTTGGCTCAGCAGGCCTTTGGCGCACCCATGCTTCATGCATACCACACTTACGCACCACTTCCCGACATCTACGTGCCCATTTGCTCACCTTCATGTCCCACATATACATCTTTCGTGCACAGCGTTCATCGTCCATTCGCTCCAGTCTCACTTTAATACCCCAAAACTGCTCTCATTCTTCTTTCCTTAAAGGTACTCCAACCCATGCCTCCTTTCAGGGCCTCTACTGCAGTCCACCTGGGGGCTCCTAGTGCCAATCTCGCCACTCTATTCTGTACCAATTCCAATTTATCCAGCTTACCATCACTATGTGCTATCATATCCAATCTATACATAATACTAGGTACTTCCACACTCTTCCACACTTCCCTCAGTACTTCATACTTAGTCGCTCTCACTTTTGCTGCACTTCCAAGTATACCCAACCATTGCTTCGCCTTACTTAGATTCGCGGCCTTTGTTTTCTGACATTCTTCATGGTCCACACACATCCCTAAGTACTTATATTCATTTGTCCTAACAATCTCATTTCCTCCCAACATCCACACTCTGCTTATATCCTCAACCGATCCATTCGTAGTAGCGACTGTAGTGTTGCCTGTTGACTGTGTTGTCCTGTAGGCGGCTGGCGCTGCCGCGCTGGCGTGGGCAACTAATATTTTTTATTTGATTGCTTGAAGAAGTTGACGATCTTCTAGGTTTTATGACCTTCATCTAAGATTATAAATATTTGTCTAAAGCAAGCTTACCTCACAGGCTCACCGACCGTCAATGCCGATAACGTTGCAACTTGCAACAGCACTTAGGTACATCGGTTACACCGTTACATGAGTTACGTCACGGCAATTCAAAAGAAACGATCTATTTTATTACTAAACTGAACCACATCTTTCTAGCATCATCAAAACAGATTTGTACCTAGATTTATATTCATCAGGTCATGTGGAGTTGTGGAATGTTCAATGTGGTCTACCTACTAGTACTAGATACTAGTGTGATTACTGATTAGGGATTGAACCCTAACAATAGTAGCTCTGACCTCTGAGCCTGACCAGTATTTTATATTTTACATTTAGTGACCAGCAGTGACTAGTGAGCCTGAGTGAGGTAGGCTAAGTGCATTAGTGCAGTGTGCGTGCAGCCATGCACAGTGCAGTTATTGTTTCATGTTGATAAGAAGTAATAACAGTTGATTGGCTTCTCCTGTTGTTCTGTGTTATTGACATTTGACAGTAGGTAGTACTAGTGCTTACTAGTTTTCACTCAGTTAGCAAAAAATCAATTGTCAAATCAAATTATCATATTATTATTATCAGTCAAATTATCAGTAAGCAGTTAGCACTTGGCATTTTGGCAATAAGTTATGGATGAAAGTTTAGCAAAAATTCAGAAGCAAGTAAGCCTAGAAAGTAGAATTATAAATTGCAAAGTAAATTTGAAACATATCTAATAAAAAATAAATGAATAATGCACTCAAATCCAAAAAATAAAGTATTGCAACAGTGCAACTGTGCAACTTTCATGTCATATTTTGCAGGTAGGCTAGCTAAAATAAATTGTTTTACAGGTGATTTTTGAAAATTGCTGCCAAAAATGTGCCTTTTATCTTATTTACTTAATTACTAAAGATATTAGTAAAAGCCATGGCCAATTTTGAATATTTGGCAGGATTTTCCTAAAACTGCAGGCAAAAACAAATGTTTCACTGATGATTTTTAAAAATTGCTGGGGATAAGGGATAGTTTTTCTCATTATTTACTGAAGAAATTAAGAAAGGCTGTAGAAACATGTAAAATTGCAAGCAGGTTTTCTTGTTTTACTGAAGAAATTAAAAAAGGGCCATAAGAATATGTGAAATTGCCCAGATTCATAGTTCTTTTCAGTTTTCACCACTGTGCAGAATTGGGCAATTGTGTAATCGCAAGCATGGAAAACTTCTAACCTTAGGGCCATGACTAGAGCTTTCCAACCATTTCTGGAGCCGTGAAATTTCTGCCAGAAGCCAGATGAATTACCTCATATAATTGTTAACAAAAACGCACGATCGGGCCGCAAGATTCCAAATGTATAAAAAATTCCTCACATTGAAGCCGCGAGATTTCAGAAACAAGTAGGAAAATTCTAATCCTGTGTCACAGTGTGGAATTCTAGAGGGATATTAAATTAACCAGTACACATAGCATATTGGAAAGCAGGACCTGAAAGCTTGGAAAGTCCAGGAACTTCCCACTTCCAGTCAATTTTATTATATACATTTACATATCCTATCACTTTTCAACTGTGATTGGTTGTGCCCATAAGCCCCGCCCCCAAATATGGTATATGTACTACAGTACTGGTTAACTAAATACTTAACTGAAACTTGATCATTACAAAGAAAAAGCCTGTACAAATATAAAAAAGTCCATTGAATAAAAGAAAAATAGATAATATCTATCAAACAAGAGATATTCAAACAATTTTGTAACAAATCTGAGGTACTATACAATTGAAACAGTTTGTCCACTTTTGATCCTCCTTTTCATTTATAGTCAGTCACCTGGCAGAGCACTGTATCTAAGGAAAGCATTCCACCTTTGGTGGAAAGCTTTTTTATAAGTGAACCTCCATTTCTAGAATTCCACCCTGCTGTGTCATCCCAGATTTCATAGTGGGGCATAAGACTGAAAAGAATCATTGTTATCCCCTATCCAGTATCAGTCACTAGTTGTTAAATTGTTAAATATGCTAGTAGCTAGCATATGCTAGTAGCTAGTTGTTAGTTACTAAGTTAGGATGAAGAGGGTGCAAGTAGCATTGCCAAGATTTTTTTTATTTTTAAATTTTTAGCCCAAAGCATCACCAGCTATTTTCAAGATGCGTCTCTAGGTAATTTTTAATAAAAAAATGCTGCCAACAACTTTGATAGGATATCCCTTACTGTCCACACACTGCAACACTTACACTCATTTCAACTGACTTCTGGACAAGTTTCACTGCATCCTGAATTCCTGAATCCTGATCCATCCAAAGTACTGGAAACCTTACTGTGTGTGCTTGCAGTCTTTAAGATTTGCATTAATTGCAAAAACTTCAAAGTAATTTCTAAAATGCAATAATTTCAATCCAAATGTGTCAGCAAGATCTTTTTAAGGCATAAATTTTGCTGCTGATGCATTGCCAAAGAACTTTCAAGATTCAGCCACTTTCTGCACCCTGGGTTGTTCGTTGGTAGTTTTTCTACTTGATAACTTTGAAAGTGCTAGTCATTAGGCCATTCCTATCATACTGTGAAAATTTTAAAAAATTTATTCATGTTATCAAATGGATTGCTTATACAATGTATAAGTGATAAGTCATTGGATTAGTCCTATAATGTAAAAAATCTTCCAATCTACTGTTGTCTTATGACTTACCTCTGCGCATCTGTGCTCAAAAGCCATAACATTTTCTGTGCATGTTATTTTGGCATGTGTCATGCTTGGGCAACTGCCCACAATTTCTATAACCAGGATTACAAGGCTTTTTCCCCAACAGATTGGCCATTAGTCCAAGATATAAGAAAAAAATTAGAACCTTAAATATTATTAAGCATTTTATTTATTCCCATTTTATTTATTCTGCATTATTTATAATTCCTATCAGCTGTCAGCAGGACTTGAATTTTTCTACTTATGAAAGAAATCTCACTGCTCCAAGTGACTAATTTTCTATACATCTGGAATCTTTTGCCAAATTTGGCACTTTAGTTAACAAATTGATAGGAGGTAATTCATCTAGCAGGAATCTTACAGCTCCAAAAATGGCAGGAAAGCTCTGGTCTAGGCCGCAATGGTAGATAGTTTTCACACCAGGCTGTCAGCATGTGGTGGTGTGGAATACATCTACTTTTTTAGCCACAACCATAGCTTTCTGTCCAGATTCCTTCTTGATAAATCACCTCTTATCTTGTTGTTAACAAAAGTGCAAGATTGGACTGCAAGATTCCAGATGTATTAAGAATTCCTCACTTTGAAGTTGCAATATTTCAGTAATAGGTAGGAAAATTCCAATTCTGATTTCTGACCATGTGAGTGAAAATACGTAATCTCTTGAAACTGTGTTTTTAAAGATCATGAAGCATTGTATGTCAATGCTGTTTTTTTAGCTCATTCATTAAGGTATATACTTGTAGTTATTCTGTGAATTTAGTATCATTTAACATTTTTTATACATATTTCAGAAATAAAACTTTGAGGCTCAAATTGTGGATAAGTTGCAGGAACTCTTTTTACCAGTTGGGTGAGCTCTCAAATCTTCTACCACCATCATGGCTGCCTTTGAAGGTTAGTTATCTGTTTCCATGTACATTTTTGGATTATTCGATTGTTATTTTTTATCTTAATAATATAATATATTTTTATCTTTATCTTAATAACAGTTATCTTAGTTTAACTAGCATGTAATGATTGCAATGTGTACACTTTGATGTTTTGTGACTGCAAAACATTCCAGTCAGTTAATAATTGCATTTCTTGTCTAGATATTGGCATAGTTTTTATTTTCGATTCTCACCATTGATTTGCTACGTTGGCTGTTGTTGAATGTATTTATATGTTGGTTGTGCTTCGTGACTGAGGTTGCAGTTGATAATAAGACTGACATTGGTTTGTAGAGAAGTCCTGGATTGTAGGAAGTAATTAGGTATGTTCCACTTGAGGTGGCAACCACGATCATTGGAATTGATTGTACGTCCATCCACTCTTTAGAGTTTTGGAATGGTTTCCTTGACTGATATTGTGCCACTCTATAAAAGCTAGGATTTACATAGACACAAATTGAAATGTCCTAATTAAATTTGGGTGAATGCTATAAATGGGTACATTTTTTGTGAAATTGACAATGCAGTTCTTTTCTAGTCAAGGATGCAATTGTACTTGAAAAAATTACCTAAACAGTACCGTAGGTATATTTTGAAGATACTCTCTAATATTAAAAGGTACAAGATTCATGTAGAATTGGCATTAAATGTTATTGACTGTATTCTTCATCACCAGAGATGGGGGTCCTCCCTGAAATTGCAAAAGCTGTTGAAGACATGGATTGGACGTAAGTTATAACCTAGGATTGTTATTTTTAGGCCAGTGTTTTGTTTTTATAACTTTTAGTTATATATATTTCATCAATTTTCTTTCAAAAAATTATCATTTATTTACTGTAGTACATTTATTTTTTTGAATATTGATTTTTTTATCAATTTTTGAATACCTATCATGGATTGAATGTATATCAACTGAAAATATTGGAATGTTCTGATGTAAGTTTGGTTTTAGCAATAATTTTAATGTTTATTTATAATCCTGAAACTGATTTATCACACAATTTATTGCAGGCTACCTACAGATGTCCAGAATGAAGCAATTCCCATGATCCTGGGTGGAGGTGATGTTCTGATGGCTGCTGAAACAGGCAGTGGTAAAACTGGAGCCTTCTGCTTACCCATTCTACAGACTGTGTGGGAGACTCTTAAGGACATCCAGCTCGGCAAGACTTCTAAGATCAACAAAGAGACTCGTGAGGAAATATGGAATGACTTATAGGAATAGGAATGACTTGTTTTGTAATATGGTTTAGCAATCACTGAAGAGATGTGTTCAGTGTATCAAACAATGTTGTTTGATACAATCTTGTTGTATCAAACAATGCCTTAATGAAATTGTATCTAGTTTGTCCTTTGTTGTAGGTCTTTTTCGTATTTTAGGTTATATTTCAGAATAAAATGTTTGTGTTACAAATAAAGTCCCGTTTTTCTTATTTTCTCAGCAACTAAATGGCAATTGAGCTTCTCGGATCGGGATACTGGACTTGCGGTGACACCCGATGGGCTGAGATGCCAGTCCCGAGAGCAGAAAATGTGGCAGGGCGGACGGGCTAACAAAGGCGTGACAGCACCTGGAAAGTTCTACTATGAAGCAACGGTCTCTGACGAGGGTCTATGCAGAGTGGGATTTTCTACTGCTAATGTGAGAACTATTAGTATAAGCTTGGACATAAGTTAATTGCCTTGTCAATTTTGATCAGTGCGCAATGATACAGTATTTTGATATTAACCATCTATGGAAAAACTTTATCTATTAATTAGAATTTATGTTGTAAAAAAGTTAAATGCCTCTCGCTTTGTTAGTTAATGAAATTTAAAGTCTCTCTTGCTTAGATTGGGTTTCGATAGGTATAATATCTTGATATGGAGAAGTTGTGGCTTTTTAGAATAATGAAAAACTATGAATCATCCTATGTGAGAATGTTGATTGTGGCTTTCTGAATCTCAGCATCTACCTTCTTCACACAGGCTGCTCTTGACTTAGGAACATGTAAGAATGGCTTTGGTTTCGGAGGAACTGGTAAAAAGTCCAACAACCGCCAGTTTGACGACTATGGTGAAAGCTTCGGTCTGCACGATGTGATTGGCTGCTACCTTGACCTGGACAACATGTCCATTAGCTTCAGTAAAGGTGGCCAACCCCTTGGACAAGCCTTCACCCTCAAGAGCGAGTTTAAAAATGTTGCATTGTTCCCGGCCGTTGTTCTCAAGGTAACAAGTTTACTATGTCAATGGAGTGAATCTAATTACTTTTTCACTTGTATATTTTCATGTTGATTTTTGTGCTCAGGTTATTTTGAGATGAATTTTCAACATTGAAATGGCTTCATAGTTGTACACATTCTCAATATATCACTCTCGCTGGATATCATGTTACAGAATGCAGAGATGGCTTTCAACTTTGGAGAGACGCCTTTCAAGTTCCCTCCAACGGGAGGCTATAAGGCCATCTGCGAGGCCAGCAGCGAGTTGACTGCTACAGGCGTCACCAAGGCATCTTCGTTCAAGCCCAAAAATAACGCTCCTCAAGCAATTATTATTGAGGTAGCTTATTATTGTATTGTAGTTTTATAGTTTCTTCCTTCTTAACTCTTAGTTTTGCTATTAAACTTCAATTTTAGCATAAGATTATTATTTCTCTACTTGATGAATTAATTAAAAGCATTCTTCTTATTGAATAAATCAATTGATGACCTCTAATTGTGACTATAACTTACTTTAATGTTGGGAATTATTCGTTATCCCGTTATCCTATGGTAGTCAATTATTTCCACTTTTATGAAAAGTTTATGGATTGATTGTTTTTTCTGTATATCACTTTTACCTGTTTTTAATGAATTTTCCAGAAGTGAATTTTCCGTCATCTATAATCTGCTGCCCTGATATAACCTGCCATTTGCAATATTCTCAAAACTCATATATTGCATCACAAATCTAAATAATATGCATTTAAAAATTACTTTTTAAAGACAACACTTCTAAAGAATACAGTGTCTCCTATGTTACACATCTACAATAAATTTCTAATTTTATTTCCATATATTAATAAAAATTAATTTTTAATTTTTTTATAATATTAATATATGAAAAAATATATTTTTAAAATTATTTATTCTGTCAATTGATTCATGCCTTGTCTTCAACTTTGCACAAGTGTGCAAAATTTCAGATTGATTGGACAGGCAGAAATGTGTTAAATATCGATTAGGTATAAGATTTGTAGAAGAAAAAATTATTTTCTCAGTTTTTCAAATTACAAAATTTTTTTCAATTTTAAAATTATATATTCTGTTAATTGATTCATGCATTGTCTTCAACTTTACGCAAGTGTGCCAAATTTTAGATCAATTGGACAGGTAGAAGTGTGTTAAATATTGATTATAAGATTTGTAGCAGACAGACAAACAAAAAAAACAAACAGACAAGAAGTGAAGTTAAAGAGAAGTGTTGTAAAAAGAGTTGTAACCTCAATTGTTAATTCAATTGAATATGTTGTAACCTCAATTGTTAATTCAATTGAATATGTAGTCAATGTAACCTCAATTGTTAATTTCTAAATAAGCAAATTTTCCTTTTAGCCATCGCGCGAGCTCGCAGAACAGACGTACAAGCAGCTGGAGCTGTTCAGTGGGTACGTAGACAACCCTAAAGTGCGGTCACTACTCGTGGTCGGGGGCGTTCCTGTGAGGGAGCAGATGAACGCGCTCAGTGCTGGCGTGGACATCGTGTGTGGCACACCAGGTCGTCTTGAGGAGCTCATCAACACAGGCCAGCTTGCGCTCCAGAACTGCCGCTTCTTCGTCCTCGATGAGGCCGATGGGCTGCTAAAAGCTGTGAGAAATAATATTCCGATGATTTAGTCCCCAGAATAATTTTGTATGTGTATTTTCGGTTGTGTGAAAAACTATTAGAGCAATATAAGGCATAAGTTGCAAATAAATATATTACAACGAAAATATGTTCAATTGTTATATCAGTCCTATTGCCGGATGAAAGGAGGGAGTTTCATTTTTATTTAAGGTTGCGTTCATATAATTTAAAGTTAAGCACGTTCTACAGTAAAGTAGTAAGAATTTTCATGACGCTACAATTGAAGAATAGATAATTTAATTTATCCCCAGTGTGGGTAGATTTCTTGTTTACATTTTTTGCGGCATGGCATTTCTTCATAGTTTCCGTACTTTTGCTTTGCGTGGCCAATAATTGCTGATAAAATTTCATGAAATGACACCAGGGTTCTATACAGAATTTGTAGCAATTCCGTGAAATGTCGCAGGGTCACGAGAAACTCATCAACAGCATCCACGGAAGCATCCCAAAGTTGACGCCGGATGGGAAGCGCCTGCAAATGGTGGTGTGCAGCGCCACGCTGCATTCCTTTGAAGTCAAGAGGATGGCGGTGAGATCTCGCTCAAGTGTAGCGATTTAGTGGCGTAATAACAATAGTTTTTAGTTTATTTTTAACACGTAGACTCCGATTGCTTCACCTTGTACTATTATTTCATATTTTGTACTGTTTTTAAACAGACGGTCATTTTTTCCGGATAAATTCCGCGATTTAGTTTTCTCAATTTTCGTTGGCAGGCTAAAATTTATGAGAGTGGTACTTCCTAATTAAATTTTAAATGATGCAAAAAGAAAATAAATGGAATTTTTATAGCGAAAACTACAAATAAACTAGTATATATTGAGTTATCGGCCTTTTTTTCTCGGATTTGGCCGATTTTAGGCAACCTGAATTCTGTACCACTACGTCCTGGAGAAATACATTTCGTGGTACGCATATGTACCTCTTTAGAGTCAACGTGTTAAAATAAGTGTTTTAATTAATGGAAATTTGTATCTATTTATAAGCAAGTTACTATAAAATAGCTAAGAATTGTATGGACGTTCTCCTTAGGAGTTTTTAAATACATTCGGAAGGCTCAGCATAAATATTGTTAGATATTAGAGATTTGGTATCATGTAACTAGGTTGTAGCTTTTCCCTTTTCACTATTCTCTGTAAGAACGCATAGAGCCTACGACGCTATTTTGTACCGAAATTTATGTCGCAGATATTGAATCGCACAGTCGTTCATATTCTCAGATCCTGTTTAGCAAGTGACATGGGATTGACTGACACGTTTTGCACGTGCAGGAGCGCCTGATGCACTTCCCTACCTGGATCGATCTGAAGGGCGAAGACGCGGTGCCTGAAACAGTGCACCACGTAGTGTTACATATTGACCCGCGCGTCGACGTCTCGTGGGGCAGCTTGCGCACTCACGTCCAGACTGACGGCGTGCATGCCAATGACAACGTCAGGAAAGGCAATAACACGCCCGGTAAGTTTTTGCTCTTCATCTACGAGTAAACTTCTAAAGGCCCGTTCACACTAGTGGCAACGACATGCGCTTTGAGTCGTTTGCTGCAGTGCCTCACCGCGCACAACCGTTCACACTACGTATGTAAGCGATAGCTCGAGACCGCGCGCTTTGAACAGTAGTTGCCACCTAGACCTAAATAAAAAGTTACAATATTCGTACCAATATTATATCATTCTTTCAAATCAGCTCGAGACCGCGCGCTTTGAACTGTAGTTGCCACCTAGACCTAAATAAAATGTTACAATATTCTTACCAATATTATATCATTCTTTCAAATCGCTAAACGGTAATGCATAAATTGACAGGAGTAGATAAAATCACAGAAACTAAACCCGTCGTGTAAAAATAACTTACATCATTTGCATTTCGATTTTTGTACTCCTTTGACCGAACACTCCATAGGCATTCATTCTCTCTATAAAGATCAATTAGGCTCTCTACTAGAGAGTGACTCCAAACGAGAATGGTGTTAGTCGACATTTGGTGTGCCGGACCAGCGTACACAATCAACCTTACTAGACCGCAGACAGGTATCTAATAACTAAGAATTTAAAAGCAAAGAATAGTCCACTAAAATTCATATCTTTATAGAAAACGTTTCGCAGACCAGCTCCTTCGTCAGTTCGTAGAATCTAGAATCACAGATCAGAAGTCACTAATTAATCAATTGAAAGCACAGAACGAATTGAATTTCTTTAATAAATTAATTAACATTTTTAATTTAATTTAAATTCTTAGCTAATTTTCGATTTAAGTAAACAAGTGATATCAATTCTTTAATAGCTATCTACTAAGTGCCGCGCTTGTGTTTCATGAAGCATGGCCCCTGTCAATCGGTCAAGAAGCGCATGCAGAGGCTGCAAAGCGCCTCTGCATGCGCTTTGAGTCACTTGATTCTCGTGTGTTGCCCCTAGTGTGAACGGGCCTTTACATATCCAGACGATTACACGCGCAGTAATATATTTTCCATTATTAGGCTAAAGTGTTAATTACTCAAGCTTTTTTTCATAGTATCAGATTTCACAGAAAAAATTTGCATGGTTGGCATAACCTTGGTGCTACATTAGTTTTTTAATTGTGCCGAGAATTTCAATATCGAACTTTTTTTATCGATCGACTTCCATCCTAGTAATAAATTAGTGAACTTTTCCTCTTGTGTCATGAAAAAGATGCGATACCAAATTGTAAGGTTAGGTTGAACGCCATCTTGCATCGTTTGCACCGATGACTGGTTGTGCACCGTATTCAAACATCTCCGGACGGCAGTTGTGCTCATGGCACATAACCTATATATCTCTTCTTACCTTTCAATCTTTGAATAACTTTCATAAAGGCGATGGAACTCAATATTTTTACTGAATTTTCCGTTAGCTGATGAGTTCCAATCCTATTTACTTGATACTTTTTGGAAAATCTTTTCCCTCTCAGAGACGCTGAGTGAGGCCGTGAAGATGCTGAAGGGCGAATATTGCATCAAGGCTATCGACACGCACAATATAGATAAAGCTATAATTTTCTGCAGAACCAAAGTGGACTGTGACAACCTTGAACGTTACTTCAATCAACTTGGTGGGTGAATAGAATGACATATTTCGCGGTTATTTAATTTCAATTCCTATTATGCTTTTTTTATGGTTCGAAACATTAGAAACGTCGCTCCACAAATATCTAAAGGCCTTTAAAACCACTTAGGTATTTTTTTTATTTCGACATAATCACATTTTCTTTTGGTGAATTGCTTCCAAATTCTGGTGTTCGCTGTGTTCAAGTCATCCATGTAACCTTGTTGTTGGATGACTCGAAATAATTTCTTTGTTGCTAAGGTGGCGGCGCGCGCAACCCAACCAACCCGTACTCATGCGTGTGCCTCCACGGCGACCGACGCCCGCAGGAACGCAAAGATAACCTCGAGAGTTTCAAGCGCGACGAAGTCAAGTTTCTGATCTGTACGGACGTTGCAGCTCGTGGCCTCGACATTACCGGTCTGCCTTTTGCAATCAACGTGACGTTACCGGACGAGAAGAGCAATTATGTGCACAGGATCGGGCGTGTTGGTCGCGCTGAAAGAATGGGTCTGGCAATCTCGCTGGTATCGGACGTACCAGAGAAGGTCTGGTATCACGGCGAGTGGTGCAAGAGTAGAGGAAAGAACTGTTACAACACCAGGCTCACTACAGAACACGGCTGCTGTATCTGGTACAATGAACCTCAGGTAAATATAATGAAAAACTGTTGTAAAATCAAGACTAGATCATAATTCATTATTTTGCTGCGTTTAGGTTAGAGCCGAAACTTCACTTGACTGGGAAGTTTAAAATTTTGTATATCTTTCGTATATTATTCATCTCTCAATTATATCGTTTGCAGTACCTGGCTGATATCGAGGAGCATCTAGGCGTCACTATCCAGTGCGTGGGCAGCGACCTTAAAGTCCCAGTGAATGAATTTGACGGCAAGGTCGTGTATGGAGAGCGCCGCTCCAATGCTGGTAAGTTGCTCTATCTTTGTGGCATGTGAAATAAATATTCACTTGTATAAGTCTTTCACTATATGTTACGGTTACTTTAATCACCATCTGTTCTGACCATCATTTTGTTTTCAGGATCAAACTATCAGACTCACGTGGAGCAACTCGCCCCGACCGTGCAGGAGCTTGCAGATCTCGAGCGCGAGGCACAGCGCGTGTACATCCGGCGTCAGTACGGAAAATGCTATCCGTGGCAGCGAGGCGGATAGAAACTTTATCCCAGTGGAAGCAGCGTTATTCACTTCACTTATTTCTCTTAGATTATATTCGTTAATAACCTAAATTATCCGCTTGTTATGATACATAACTAACATTGATTTTGCATCATTTTGCGAAGGGTGTTTGCGTTAATTCGAATCATTGCAATGTGAAGAAATGCGAGGAAATAGTCATGCATTAAACTAGAACACTGCAAATGAGTTCTAATCCTTGAAATACGATTAAGCAAATAAAATAGGACTCGTAATTCCTGAGTCTGTATTATAATTCTGGCGAAATTTGGCGATTGCGATTTTAACTTGTCAGATGGATAGGAAGTTAATTGTCATTATATATCAACCATTTACTATTTTTATAACTATAAACTACACAGTTTATTCGCTAGGCATTATAATCTACGGTAATCGAGATTCTGGAGGTTTACAAGCGGCTTGAGCTGGTCAGCCACAATCCTAAGATCTGTGGCGATGGCCTCATCGACGCGAGTTGTTAGGGCGCTCAACTCCACCACGTGGCTTTTGGTGACACCTTCCTGGACTTCTTTCCCTCCAACCTACGAAAAAAGTGGATATCACCTGAAATATCTTGCAGGTCTCAAACAACGTGCACCAGGGGTGAGTAAACTGTGTCTCATGTACTCTTACATGTTGTGATTCTACTAAAATTTTAGTTTTCTTCGTCAGAAATTCTCCCTATTTTAGAATTTTTGCTCGAAAATCATTTTGTTAATAAGGAGCAACCACTTAAATAGGAAGTGTATTTCACAAAATCAAGAACGAAATCTTCAATTTGACTCTTAGCGGGAAAAAGTTGACACCCCGGCCATTCAAAAAAAAAAAGCATGTAGAATAATTCTGGTTTTGAACAGAAATGGTTTATTTCCTATTCAGTTACTATTCTAGTTTATTTAAAGCATTTGTGCGTTTAATGGCACGCGAAGTTCAAGCTATGCATCGATTTTCTATTTAATTTGACCACAGCTCACCTTGAATATTTTGAAGACGGTCACCTTAATCCTGCCTTTTCTCATGATGTAACCTTTTGAAACGTACTCGTGGTCGACCTTCACATGAAAAGACATTGTTAATCGCACTCATGTGGATAGAAATATTAAGAATTGAATTATTACTATTACAGCTATAAAATAATATTCACTCAAAATTACTTGTCTTAACTTGAAAAAAGGTCTCACCTTTGCACCAAGTTCGTGGAGGAAGTCGCAAATGTTTGAACTCACTGGCACATCGAGGCAGTTCCGTAACAAAGCGGGTCTGTTCCCTGCGCAGATCATGCATATATATAGTTCCTATGACTAGTCATAATTCCTACTTGTCAGCTGTTGAGCTTGCCGTATCTAGTCGTTTCAAGCTCCTTGCAATATGGAAAAAAATTTGCAGTATAAAGATGTCAATTTATCTAAATGATATGCAAAAAGCTTAATTGAAGTTAATCAAACTTTAACACACCCACTTCAGGCTGGCCAGTGTATCGCAGCTGCCAAGGCAACTCGGGGTGGTCAAGAGCCTTGCGCACACGAAGCATCACGCCACCCGTGCCTGGCCCTACAGCTCCAGGGTCTGCACATTCAGTTAAAACCTCATATGCTTTACAGATCTCACACTCGGAGAGAGAGAATTATAACCAAACTTACAATCGGATACGGGAGTTATAATCTAGCTTAGACTTGGTGAGGGGGGAGATATAATACCACTTACGCTCACATAGAGAAGTTTTAATCCCACGTGCACTCGGAGAAGTTATAGTCAGCTAATCACTGATGATTAATAGCATAGTCATTCAAACTACACATAGTACAAATTTGAACACACATACATTATGAATGTGCGATGTTTTGTACCGAATGATGATAAGAATCAACTTAAACAATAAACATAGATTCTATGTGTAGATGTCTGTACGGCTTGAATAGAAAGAAATTCTGCATCAAAAAATGAACCATACTGCTCACTTGAGAAATCTTTTAAAATAAAACAAATTTCTTGATCGTGGAATGTTTCAGGCAATGAATCGGCATTGTCACAGAGCCCACGTAGTCGACTGAGGAGTACTGACACAGACAGGTCCATAACACTTCCTGATGGGAGAACAGAATTTCAAGAATCAGCAAAATGTTTTAAAATTTGTACACTCAATGAGCATCATCTGGATATTAATTAACACATTTCAAAGGTTATATTTCAATCACAAACCACAATTTTGCATTATTCCAGACCTTATAGAAAATAAACTTAAATCTGACATAGAATAATTGCACTTCACAAACCTTGCAGCACAAACTCCTGGTCAGGAACAATGTCATTTTTTTGAGCCGATTCAATTGAATCAAGAACACTTTGAACAGATAAATTAATAGACATTATGCAAGTGCGACAGTGAAGTAAGATTGATCACAGTATTTGCAGCTTTACATCAAACAAGCTACTAAGAGAGATCTGAAATTTTATAGGCATTGAGTGAATTAGAAATAGCTCGAAAAAAAAAACAAAAAGAAACAGAAATATGTCAATGGTCAAGTCCAATTTACATACGTAGCTCTTTTTTTTGTACCAATTCTGAATGATGTGGCAGCATTATTCTTAAAGACTTGCCACATGACCCATATCTTTTGAAGTATTGTACTTAACGGTGATAATAAATAATAATAATAGCGGTTTCAGCGTTTATTAGCCATAGGCCTGTCGTCAATTCTTAACATCACAGAACATTCAGAGCATTTTGCGGTTTCGAACTCGCAACACACTGCTACAATTCTGCTCTGCTTAACCGCCCGGCCTCATTGCCGATTTTGATCAGAAACTGGTGCACAGAGCTGGGATCGTATCTGGGCCTCTCATGGTACTCTGAACTTTAACTGCTGGGCCACTCTGCCTGCCCCTCCACTGGGCACTGTGAAATTTGTACCAAACCTCATGAATACTATTACTGTATATATTCAAAAATGGCCAGGCTTACAACTTAACTATTTTTTTAGTTACGAAGCTAAATTATTCTAAATTGAAAAGGAATGCCTCATGTGGCTAAAAACCCAGTGTGTTAGAAAAAAATGATAACAATTTTCTGAGATAAATTTGCCTTTAAAAATAATTTATATCTTGAGGGTTTGATCTTTTTCCTTCATTACCAGCCTTCTTTTGTTAAGTATGTATGCTAAGATTTGAGTTTACTTAAGGAGCTCAAATATCAACTGGTTACATGGCAAACCAGATAAAAGTCTACAGTCTTGGCTCCCCTCATTTCACACACTTGACTGCAGGCTCTTAGTACCTTAATGACTAAAATTTTAATTACTGGTTTTATGGGCTTGAGAGATATTCATGCCAAAAATAATTTAAAACATGAAGTTATAGTCTCAAAAAACATGATATATCCGAATATAATTAACATGCTATGTCTCTTTTTATATTTCACTTTGAAAACCTGCAGTATGCAAATTAAATTAACACAGAAGTTGAAATTGATGTTAAAGTTACAGTTTAGATTGGGATAACATAACATAATTACAAAAAATCTCTTTGATTTATCTAGCAATGATGTGACATAAATGACCAAAAAAGTGTTGAAGAATTTATACTAAAGTGCAAAACACACAAAATGTACTTTGATGTGGGGGAAATATCTGGTGGTCACTTTCTTGATTTCAATGCATCATAATAAGTCTGTATTGACTAGAACCAGTTGGGGGCCTGGTAATAAATAGGTACCTAGATAACATTTTAATGGGTGGATTGTTTCTACCCACTACTGCCAAGGGTTGTTTTTAGAGTCTGGGACAATAATATAAATCATGGTAATGATCTAAATTAGAAGGGAGTTTCTGGTCTTCTTAAGAAAATTTCTGACATTTAAAAAATATAAATGAAGCAGAATGAATCAAAAGGGACGGAGTAATTAAATAAATTGAAAAAGTACAGAAATTGAACTTATTTTTAGTTTCATATCCTATTCCAAATTAATCTGATTCAACTCAATGTATGGTGCCTACAACTCCTAAAAATTTTTAAGATGCATTCAACCTTTTTACAGGCAGACAGAAGAGAAAAAATTCAACTACTGTGCCTAGTCAGAGCAAATAAAAAAATATCTAAGAAATATTAACTAATTTTTCAGACCTCTTATGTATTGAAAGCAGAAATTCCAGTTTATGAATTGTTGCTCGTTGCATAGCAGGACTAGGAACATTGAAAACACAGCCCAGGAGGCGGATGCTGAGGGTCTACCACAAGAGGAGGGAGGTGGGCAAATGACCGTATTGAAGCCAGCAATGCTGCAGTCAGGAGATGGTGAGGTCCGCCAGAAAGGATGGGCAGGAAAAGAGGTGCTCTGTTGAATAGAAAGGGTCCCCAAACACAAGATAAGCTGTGCTTAGAGAGCATCCTCCATTAACATGTAAGATACAAGGTGGCTGCAAACGCCAGACTAAAGCTGAGTGGTTGGAGTGATGGAGCAAAAGGCTTCCTCAGGGGCAATAGAGGGAGGTTGGCACCCAGGACCTTGTCATCTTGGCTGTCGCGGCAATGTGAGAGGTGATTGGCAAAGGGTTTGCCTGGCTTCACCATAAGAGCCTGCTGGATAGCAGCTGTTCCAGTAAGAGGTGACTAATGGCACCATAAGGTGGTCTTCATGAGTCTCTCCCAGGAGGAGCAGAGAGAAGCAAGAAAGAAGGGTGGTGGGTCTGGTGGAGCTTACCCATAACTGCAAGCAATGAATGTCTAAGTGAGCAGCCAAGGAAAGAATCACTATTTTTGTGTGAAGGTTGTCAGACAGTGTCGTCCTTCTTCTTGGCAGTTGGTAGCCAGCCCTCTGCCCTAAGGCAGTTCAGGACAATCTGCAGGCATACAACTGCAGAGCAGGTGGCAAGGGGGCACCATACTAAGGCAGCATATGTAGTTAAGGATTGGTTGGGAGATTGGTGTATTGGTGGCCATGATGTCTTCTTTTGAGAAACCCCACTCCCCAGCCTCCCAGGCCTGTGCCATCTAGGAACTTTAGAATGTGTAGAGTGCTGGTTGCTTTGGAGGCAATTTTCTAAGATTAGATGGATGAAATAATTAATTCATGAATTGTAAAGGAATTAATCCTATATACTCACTAATCACTATATTTAATTAATTGGTATTATATAAAATCAAATATGCCTATGAGAAAAACTACCAAATTCAAAAATATATAATATTTTCAAGTTATTAATATTGCTTCTCAAATGATAGTAAAAAATTTTAAATTTAAATTTGTTAACAATGGGAGTTTTACAAATCCTATCATTTAAAATCTTCAGTAGGATTGGCTCTGATTTGGATGGCATCATTTGCATGATATGATGATAGGCATCAATTTACCCATATCATCTGCATATGCAAACATAGGTGAGTATTATTGAGTAACGAGACAGAATGCTGCTATGAAAATATGCCTTTGCCTAATTTGTTATGCAAGTTGTGTAAAAAAAATGAAAACCACATAATTTATCCATCAATTCTGAACATCATCCATGAAATGATTATTTCTTCCCTTGCATTCATGAAATTTTTAGCCCAATGCTCTGCATTGACTTGGCAGCAATGGCAGCATCAATAATCAAGCAAGTGTGCCATTTCTTTCACTGTTTCAAACCTGGTCTGGAAAATATGTACATAGTTTTTGAGACTAGGAAATGACCAGTGACTGAGTGACAAGAGCATAGAAATTTTCTGCCATTCTGTAAAGATGCAGCATTAAGCAATTCAAAAATTTCTAAAAATGCATATTTGAGCTGCTAGATTTTTCATCCATCAAAAATGTGCAAACTTTGTGTACAAGGTTAGGGCGTTAGGCTCAACATAAAGGTTGGAAATTAATTGATACTTTTGTATTGCTTAAACTAGTAACATTCAAGTTTTAAACTGAATAGTTCAAATTCACAGGACAGGATACATATGCTGATGGGCATAGGAATTGTTTTCAGAATCAGATTTCAGACCAAGAGTCAACTTTAACTTTTAGCAGCAATCTTTTAGTCAATTTTGTTATTTGAATATCATTTTGTAGCAGCACTATTTCCACTACATTTCACACTTCAACATCATTCCAGAATCCAGACTTCTTCACCAGCAACAAAGTGTTTCAGTTGAGAGTCCGTTAGGTTTTCAGTTTCTGCTTGGGAGCTTCCTGGAGGGCCAGGGTCTTGGAAGCTATCCTTATTAGGTTTGGTCATTTCTTTCACTTTTTAGTGTAAAGACTATTTGTGATTTCAGTAATTAGTTTTCACAGTTAAGTGTACACCACACGTCTTTACAGGCTACAGCACAAGTGACCAATCGAAACTCCTGGCATATCTTCCTCTTTTCAAGGTGTCCATGTTGGGTGGACTGAAAGCCACATGACAACCACAAGGATGACCGTCGGGCCTGAGAGCTTGTGTTATGTTGGACTTTTTGTCTTCTTGGTAAGGAAAGCTGGCCTCTTTGTCCTTGTTTGTACAAGGTCAATAGAGGTGATGGATGAGCTTGACAGCAGTAAGAGAAAATTTTCACACAACATGCCACATGGCTAAGTTACATGTACACAGAACACAAATGACTGTATGCAGTTACTCGGAAAAGTTACACATGACATGACCATTGCTCCTCAGAACTGAGCACTAGATTTAAGTTTTAACAGTTGAGTTAGATGGATTTATATACCGTAAAATAGGGTAACTTTGACCACTTTTTTTTTAAATGATGCCATTTTTGTACTAGATAAGTTAAACTTAAATTGAAACATGCAAAATACAGATCTATACTCTAGCTTTACTCACCATGAATTGCCGGCTCCTGCCTCTCATAGTTTTGATGTAAGTTCAAAAAAAGTGATGGTCTTTGTTACCCCAGCTCTTGGGGTTTCTATGACCGGGTGGTAAAATCAATTTCATTTTTTGGTAAAATAACTCCAAATAACTCCAGGTTGTGGTGCATTGTAGTAGAACTCTTCTAGTTACATATGCAAAAGACAAATTTTAGGAAAGTGTCATAGTTTGCAAATGGGAAGCGCCGCCCCCCAATGGGCGAAATGTGACCACCTAATGGCAGCTGTGACGGGGTAACATTGACTGTTTTGGAAATTAAGCTAAAATTACCATATATAAGACTCTGTAGAGTCTAAAACATAAAGAAAAAAACATTAATAGGTGTATCAAACATAAAATATGTTATATAGGTACCTATGGTAATTTTAACTTAATTTACAAGCCGGTCAATGTTACCCCATCACGGCTGCCATTAGGTGGTCAAAGTCCCCCCATTGGGGGGTGGCGCCTCCCATTTGCAAACTATGACACTTTCCTAAAATTTCTCTTTTGCATATGTAACTAGAAGAGTTCTACTACAATGCATCAAAACCTGGAGTTATTTTACCAAAAAATACAAAAATTGGAGGGGGTACTCCGACAGGCTTTAAATAATAGCTCTTTTTCGTGGGTCACATTATTAATTTTTTAACCTATTAGATATGCAA